ATGCAGTATTTTCACCATATAATGCTTTATTTCAAGAAACATAAAAGGACAACTGAAATCTAAAAAAAGATTTGTGCAGTGTATGGAGAAGGTGATGTGACTGATCATACATGTCAAAAGTGGTTTGTGAAGTTACGTGCTGGGGATTTCTCAGTGGATGATGATGTTTCATGATTGGTTATACCAGTTGAAGTTGATAACAATCAAATCAAGACATTAGTTGACAACAGTCAACGTTATACCATGCAGGAGATAGCCGACATACTTAAAGTATCCAAATCAATGAACTTATTGGTGAAAATATAAACTATTTCTTTTATTTATGGTAAATACTAAACTAACTTTTTGGCCAACCCAATATGTTGAATATAAGAGATGAAAGCGGACATCCCTGTCTTGTTCCAATTTTAAGGGGATGCCCGTAGTTTTTGCTCATTGAGTATGATTCTGACAGTGAGTTTGTCATATATGGCCTTTATTATGTTAAGTATGTTCCTTCTATTGCCATTTTGCTGAGAGTGTTTATCATAAATTGTGGCTGGATTTTATCAAATACTTTTTTTGCATCTGTTATATGATCATGGGATTTTATTCTTCATTTTGTTTATGTGGTGTATCACAGTTATTGATTTGCCCATGTTGTATTAACCTTGTATCTCTGGAATAATTTCCACTTGATAATGGTATATGACCTTTTTGATGCATTGCTGTATTCGGTTTGCTAATATTTTGTTGAGGATTTTTGCATCTGTGTTCATCAGGGATATTGGCTTATAGGTTTCCTTTTTTTGTAGTGCCTTTATCTGACTTTGGAATTAGGATAATACTGGCCTCATAAAATAAGCTTTGGAGTCTTCCCTCCTCTTGAATATTTTGGAATAGTTTGAGAAGGAGAGATGTTAGTTCTTGGAATGTTTGATAAAAATCACCTGTGAAGCCATCTGGTCCAGGACTTTTGTTTGTTGGGAGTTTTTTTGATTACTGATTCAGTTTCACTAGGTATAATCTGTCTATTCAGATTCATTCTTCCTGATTTAGTTTAGGGAGGGTATATGTTTCTAGGAATTCATCCATTTTGTCTAGGTTGTCCAATTTGTTGGCATATAATTATTTGTAATATTTTCTTACAATCTTCTATATATCTTTGGTGTCAGTTGTTTTTCTCCTCTCATTTCGGATATTATTTATTTGGGTCTTCTCTCTTTTTTTCTTGATGAGTTAGGTTAAAGGTTTGTCAGTCTTGTTTCTCTCTTCAAAGAACCAGCTCTTGGATTCATTTATCTTTTGTATTTTTTAAAGACTCTTTTGCTTATTTCTGCTCTGATCTTCAGTTTCCTTCCTTCCACTCACTGTGGACTTTGTTGTTCTTTTCCAAGTTCCTTTAAGTGTAAAGTTAGATTGCTTATTTGAGCTTTTTTGGTATCCCCATGACGTTCATGTTGTTACAGTTTATGTTGTCCCAATGGTCCCTCAAATTCTACTTATTTTTTTAAATTCTTTTTTCTTTTTGCTGCTCTGCTTGGCTGTTTTATTCTACCTTGTCTTCCAAAGCTCTGATTCAGTGTTCTGCTTTATCCAATCTATTGCTTATTCTTTTCAGTGTATTATTTATTTCAGATATTGCATTCTTTACTTCTGACTGCTCCTCTTTTATTTTTTATGTCTTTTTTCATGCTTTGAGCATCCTTATAATCATTATTCTAAACTCTGTATCTGATCAATTGCTTGCCTCCATTTCATTTACCTCTTCTGGAGAATTCTCTTGTTCCTTTATTTGGGGCCTGTTTCTTTGTCTTCCCATTTTGGCTGCCTCTTTGTATTTGTTTCTGTATATTAGGTAGATCTGCAAAGACTCTGGTACAGACCTTTGTTAGATGCTGTGACTGGCCCTGGGCAACCTGTTTGGAGCTAACAGTGATCCACAGCTTGTGGCTCCCTCTGCAAGGCCTGTCTCTGTGTAGAAAGAACAAAGCTGTGCAAGAAAGCTGGCTTTTACCAGCGCGGGCCATCGGTTAGAGTCAGCCATAGTCTCAAAGCTCCCAGAATCTGCCTCTGCCTCCTAGCTTTCTGTTTGGCTTTATCAGGGAAAGTCACTCTAGCTGTACTCCTCAGCAGCCAGGCTTAAGCTCCACAGGGTAGGGGTACAGGGATTTCTGTGGGTGACACTATTGCTTTCTCCCAGGCTGAAGCCAAAAGGAGGGGAGTGCTTTGCCTGAGAAAGACGGTCTCTGCAGTATGGGAATGACTGAGTAAACGGACCTTGGTGGCTGACCCTTCATCTCTCTCCCCAGAGCCACCAACCCATGTCTCCTAATATGGCCCTAGTCTACTCTGCCTTCCCTCTGCTGGAGCCCCAGTTAAGTGGTTGCAAACAAAAATTTGTGCATTGACCTTTTAAGCAGCACTCTGTGTCTATAGCCTTATCTCCCTTGCTGCTTTTCACAGTCGGATGTTACTTGGGTTCCTTTCCCAGTTCTGGCGCTCTGGGCTGGGGAGTCCAGCTGGTTTAGACCCCGCACATCTCAGCGGAAACCTCCCACCCAGCTGCTGAAATATCCCTCTGGAACCTCCACATGCTACATCTGGGAGCCCAGCCAACCCTCTCATGCCTCTGAACTTCCTACCAGTCTTGTGGTGATGTGGTTCCTTCTATGAGTCTTTGGTTATAAGGCTTCTCTCTCCGGCTAGTCTTCAGTTATTCAAGATGATTTTCTGTACTTAAGTTGTAATTCCAGTTTTGTTTTGGGTAAACTTTTTTATTTATTTACCTTTATAGAGAGGTGTAGGGAGCAAGAGAGGGAGAGAATCAACGTTTCTAGAGAAAAACATCAATTGGTTGCATCTTGTATGTGCCCCATCTGGGGACCGAACCCACAACCCAGGCATGTGCTGTGACCAGAAACCACACTGTCGATCTTTTGTTTTGCGGCCTGATACCAACCAACTGAGCCGCACTGGTCAGGGCTGTATGTACTTTTCAAAGGGCTTTTGATATATCTTTCCACATTGTCTCCAAAAAGATTGTACTAATTTTTACTCTAACCACTTATGAGTTCCTAAATATTTTTCTATACACAAGGTGTCTAGACACTTTTTAATCTGAAAATATGCTTATTTTAATTTTTATTTCTTTACCAGTAAGATTGTATTTTTCACATATTTTTGTTATATTTTGTGAGGGTAAATTGCCTTTTTCAGTTTGAGATCAAGTTTTTCTTTAAGATGTTTGCCTTTTTATTTTTAATAGAGCTTTTCTCTGCCCAGATTGTGAATTTTTTTCTTTAACCATATGGTACCTTTTAGGAGGAGATTTTTGGCTCTCTAGTTTTCTTTTTCCTCTGTAATTGAATTACTTGGTTGAGCCTCTTTTGAAAGAAGTGGAAATAATACCCTAACACAGATTTTCTTACCATATCAGGATATAACAGGATCTCTTTCTCTTCCCTACTTAACTGTTAACTTATTACAAAAATTATTGATTTTAAAGTGATATCATAAGTACAGTAGCCTGTTATTTAAGCCTCTTATTTCTCAGTGTGGTCTCTTATACCAGCAGTATTGGCATCATCTGGGAACTTGTTAGGACTGTAAATTTTCAGGCCCCATCTCACTCTCACCGAATCAGAAACTCTGCCGAGGGGTCCAGCACTCTGTTTTAACATGCTCTCCAGGTTATTCTGATGCAGGCTACAGTTCAGAGAACCACCAGTTTAAGACAGTGCAGGCATACTTCAATTCTATTGTGCTTCACAAATGCTGCGTTTTTTACATATTGAAGTCAAGAACCTCCACACTCACTTTATTGCAGTGGTCTGTAACCCAACCCACAGCACATCCATGGTACGCCTGTACTGAGGTTTTCAGGAGCCTTTTATTCTCAGGATGATTTTGGAGAGATGTCATTCAATAGTAGGAAAGGCTTTTTCCCCATCCCTTCATGTACCTGAATTCATTGTAGTACACAGAGCCTCAAACTTTGAATGTGTAGGATAAACAATTTGTCCTTGGAAAATAGAAAAGTTGTGACTTCCATAATTACTGAGGCTGGAAAGTCATTTTCTTAGGAACATTCCGTTATACTCTTCATTTAGCTGCATCCAGCTGAAGGTGTGCCACTTGTTACTTCTGTCCTCACCGGTGGGTCAGTGTACTCTCCCCACCAGATTTCTGGCTGTTAATAAGCCCTGATGTTGTCATCGTTTTAGTTTACAAAAACATTTATCACTAGAGAAACCAACTCCACCTAGTGTTTTCTCATATGTATTAACCAATTAAGACAGTGGAATTATGGCTAATATTTTATAGGGTGCTATGTAGCTTATAGATTGTAAAGATAAACAAGTTAATATACGTGAGACACAAATATAGATGGCTGCTGCTCCTTACTCTTGAACCTGGCGAGTCCCAGGAAAATTCAGTTAATTACCCAGTCAGAACGAGGACCTCCTTTGCCATCAAACGGGACTTCATTCTAAGGATGACGAGAGGAAAATAATGGGAATAGGCTTTGGGCAGCAGGAGCATGAAGCCAAGTTAAGCAAGGAAGGCCAGACACACTGCTTGTTAGTTGAATTTGAGTAGGTCTTGGGACTGTTCTGGCAAGTTGCCCTCATACTTTCTGGCTCTCCTGGGTGTTGGGTGTGGTCAGATCTACTCCTCTCTGTGTTTGTGAACTGGGGCCATGATTGCTAGAGAAAGTGAGTAGTGTAAAAAAGTTGAGAGATGCATAAAGTGTGTTTTACTGTGCAAGCCTCCCCATGTTGTTTTTCTGAAAATGAGATTACCAACTGGGTGAATGAAATAGAGTATAAAATGATTCTGCTCAATTTATATGACGTTACTTTTCTCATGGTTGCATTTTTTTCAGATGTGCACATTTTCAAGCCACATTTTAAAACTGTAAAAGTGTAATGTATGTATTTTAATAATACAGTTTTATATACTTCATGTGATTTTTATTGGCTCTAGGAAGACTTTTTTTCTTCCTAAAATAATTTCAGGAGCAGACATGATAAGTATACACAATGAAGAAGAAAATGCTTTTATACTGGATACTTTGAGAAAGCAATGGAAAGGCCCGGATGATATCCTACTGGGCATGTTTTATAATACAGATGGTAAGTGATATTTATCTTGATACCACTTTTTTTCATTAATATTAGTAAAACTGATTACTTTCTTTTAGATTCTTCAATTCTGTAGCTCAAGGTGGCTTCCTCTGGTCCCCAGGTACTGCAGCTCCAGTGTGCACCCATATCTCGTACCACAGTTTTTCCCTGAGCAGTTCAGTGTGTTTCACATGTGAGAGTCCAAGTTGATTCTCTTGTCAGAACAAAAATGTGGTTCTAAGTTCAGTATTTTTGTAATATGTCAGGGTCATCAAAATCAGTATTAGTGTCAATGATTAATAGGATACAGATGGACAACTATCAAGGTTATATATACATATCATGTAAATGTATTTACTGTTACTATAGAAAATACAGATATAATAATTTCAAAATGAAATTAAAGTTACTGTTAAATTAATAATTTAACTATTTTCTTGGCTATTTCCAAAAAGTGTTTTATATCTTTTTCTTTACAAATATGAGGTCTTCAGAATCTTCTTGAGCCAATACCTTTAATATACCTGTACACAGGATATATTCCTGTTCTCATTTAAATCCTACAACCAAACGTTTGAACTAGACATACCTTAGTAACTTCCCACCTTTAATCCTAGACCCTTTGGCTTTTATATTGATAAGCATATTCTTAATTGACAGATGACAGTTTCAAGTGGTTTGATAATTCAAACATGACATTTCATAAGTGGACAGACCAAGATGATGAGGAGGATCTAGTTGACACCTGTGCCTTTTTGCACACCATGACTGGTGAATGGAAAAAAGGAAATTGTGAAATTTCTTCTGTGCGTGGAACCCTTTGTAAAGCAGCCAGTAAGTAAAATTAAAGGCATTTTTTCAGGCTAAGAGGGGTGTGAAGGTAGGGCTGGTTTTGAAATAATTTTGTGATAAGTATGCCTCCAGAGAGGAAATAAGGCCAGAATATATACTGGGTTGGCCACAAAGGTCTTTTTTTTTTCTCCTATAAAATAAAAGACACATTTTTCATTTTCACCCATAACTTTATTGATTTGGGTATTTTGAGTATGTAGGCTATCTTCCACATGGTATAAGGTTGATTGTTCTCAATTAATGTCTCGATTAGATCACTATCAAGTTCAGCTGGTTTACCCGACCATGAAGCATCATCCAGAGAGAAATATCCAGCATGAAACTTTACAAACCAGTTTTGACACGTTCCATCAGTCACATTTTCTTTTCCATAAACTGCACAAATCATTTTTTTGCATTTCGGTTGCATTTTTACCTTTCTCAAAATAATATTTTTGAGATATTTTGGGAGGAAGGCAGAGACAAATATATTTGGAAAAATTAAATTAATTAAAAATTTTTTTAAAAAGTACTTATCACATGAAAATTTATAATTATATATGGGGATGATGTAACTAACTTTATTCTGGTGATCATTTGACAATATATACAAATGTGTACATTATGTTGTACACCTGAAACTACTATAAAGTAAAGTAAAATTAGAAAAAAATAATAATATTAAAGCATTATATGCTGAAAATGTTGCATATTTTCTTCCATCTTCAATATTAAAATGGATACATACAAATTCACCAGTTTTTGATGTTTTTAAAAAAATGCATGGTGACATGACAAGCGTTACAATACAATCTAACAAAATTTTTTCAAATGAAGTTAAAGACAAATAAGTGCTACTAGAGCCATCTTACAGAAAAAAACAAAGCAACTTTTTGGCCAACCCAGTATTAGTATCATTTGTTCTCACATCTCTTGGAAGTCAAATATTAATTCTCTTACACTTGAGAAGTATGGCCAAATCGGGTGAACTACACATACTTTATTCTATCTGCTTATTCTCAGAGCTTTCAAGAGGTCAAAATTTTTTTCTGTTCAAAGAAATTATTCAATATCACATAACCTCTGTGCATGTGATTTGACTGAACAGTGGAAGTGCTGAATAATCATGCTGGATTTCAGAATTCTACTGATTCCAGGATTCTGTTAGTTTACAAATAATTTGATTCTGTACAAGAACTGGTATCTTTTCTTTTGACAAAGAAAAACTGTGTTGTAGTTTATAATTTATTCTGGATTAAAATGTTCTCTTTTGACCCATCAGAATACTTTCTAGGGAACAAAATAATTCTGAACCGCAACATTTTTTATGTTGTTAAACATTGCACGAAGTTTGTTTTAAGTTTTAGAAAGAATTGTTCTGTCATTTAAGGCACTTAAAATTTTCAAATACAATTTTGGAGTGCTTGAAACATGACATAGCCATTTTCTCACTTTGCATTTAGTATTCCCTTCTACTTTAACTGTAAACCAAAACAATATACCTGCCTCTGATTATTTCCTTTCTTTACATCTGAAATTACTGTATTTTGCCATGTATAATGCGTTTTGCCCGAACTTTTTGAGGAAAAAATAAGGATGCGCGTTCTACACAGGTATAATGATTACATACCATGGGTGTAATAACTCCCTTGTATAATGTGCACACAAACTGTGGCAGCACATTATACAGTGAAGTACATTACACACGGCAAAATATGGTAGATATTTCTTACTTGCTTCAGCAGAGTTCTTGACTACAATCAGTTTTATAGCGATTATATAAAACATGTAATAGTTATTGAAAGTAGCCTTTAACTTCCAATATTTGTTGGATTTTTAAAAAACAGGCTCACTGTGCCTCAGGGCACCACTACATAAACCAAATTTTTAATTAAACTACAACTTTGAAACATCAAAAAACGTGAGTAAATGCGTACTAATGTGGTAATGTCACAACTGTGTTACTAATGAGGTACACAAATGTGTTCTTTAATTTTACTGTGTTTTCTACACTCTCCAACCAAAATCCTTATTTCCTGCACTTACTCATTGTCTTTTTGAGTTCCCTTATTCTTTCTCCACCAACCAAACACATTTTGTCAGACCTCTACATCTTTTTTTAAAAATTAAGTTTGAAACAGATAACACACGCAACACCAAGCAACAGAAATATGGATCCTACTGAGCCATTAAAGGGTTCATTTTTAACTGCTTTGAAAGTGTTTAAAGGCAAACTTAGAATAAAGCATACTTAAATTTTAATTTTAATTTTCTTTTATATTTTAGTTCCATATGAAAAGAAATACTTATCAGGTAAGAATTAGTCTTCTGTTAAAATTTTACCGTAAGTACAAATGTACTAACAATCTAGCATGTTAAAATACTCCTAAGGATACCCTTTAAAAGATTATGTGACATAATGTAAAGTAGAACAACTTTTATACAAATGTATAAAGATCTCTTAGCTTAGTAATAAGACGACATTTTAAATATGATTAACTCCATGTTAGGTATGAATTGAACTTTTTTTTTAAAACACCAAATTGTATTTTCTCATTGAACTCCATTATCTGTTTTTGTGGGAAATGACTACGTCTTTTGTTCAAAAAAATTTCAACTCAGTTATAATTACAACTCATAGAGCATTTGTCTTAAGGGCTTACTAAATGCATTTTTTTTTTAAAGCTACAGGCAACATTGAGTTTGCCACAGAATTTGTTTAATTTTTTCCATAAAATAAAAGACGTATTTTTCATTTTTACCAACAACGTTACTGACTTCAATATTTTGAGTCTGTCAGCCATCTCCTGCTATGGGCTGCTAGTGGGTAGAGGCCAGAGGTGCTGCCAAACATCTTCCAATGCATAAGACAGCCCCACAGCAAAGAATCATTTGGTCATTATGTCAATATACCCAGAAACTTCACAAACCACTTTTGACACGTCCAGTCAGTCACAGCATGTTGTCTATACACTGCACAAATTTTTTTTTGCATTTCAGTTGCGTTTTTACCTTTCTTGAAATAATAAAGCATTATATGCTGAAAATGTTGTGTATTTTCTTCCATCTTCAAAGTTAAAATGGCTGCGCTAAAATTCACTAACTTTGGTTTTTAAAAAAATGCACACTGATATGACAGCTGTGACAATACAATCTAACAAAGTTGTTCTGAATGAAGTTAACGACAACTGAGCGCTACTAGAGCCATTGTACAGAGCTTTTTTGCCAACCAAATGTATTTACATAGTTCAAAAGCAAAACTTTACAAGGCAGACACTGAAAAACCTGCCTCCCATTTTGTCCCTGTGTCTTTACTAGGCACCATTTCTGTTTCTTCTTTAACTTCCTACTGCTTCTTTTGCCAATAAGCAAATTGAGATATATGACTTATTTTGCACCTCTTATTCACTAATATGCTTTAGATATCTCTTCATATCATTATCATAGATTGGTCTTTTTTTACAATTACACACTCTTCCATTGTATGGACATACAGTTATTTAACCAGCTTGACTATTGGGTTGTTTCCAAACTTTAGTTATTATAGTGAATCCAAGTCATTGTTTATAATAGTACTGAATCAGTCACCTTGCACAAATGTGTTTTTTCTGAATTACCTGAAAGGTAATTGCTAAATTGAAAGTGAGGTGTAACTTCTATCAGTATCATAGCATTTTGCACTTCCAGAAGCAATGTATAAATGTCTTATAAAACTTTTGGATTTTTTCCAATTGGATGGTGTAGTTTTTAAATCTCTGTATTTTGAAGTATAAACAGGGTAAAATGCACACCTGAAATGTACAGCCTGATGATTGCTTATGTATACATTTGTGCAACTACCCCTCAAATGAAGATACAGATAATCGCCATCACACAAAAATTACCCTCATGCCATTTTCCATAAATGGCCACCCTATTGGTAAGCACTACACTTTCTATCACCGTATATTAGTTGCTTTTCTTGAATTTCACATAAATGTACCTCCTGTGGTTTCTTTCACTCAGGAATTTTTTATTCATCCATATTATGCATATATATTGTACTTATTATATTATTGTGCAGTATCTATAAATATGCAAATTTTACTCTATTTTTTTTTAAAAGATCTTATTTTTAGAGAGAGGGGAAGGGAGGAAGAGAGGGAGAGAAACATTGATGCATGAGAGATACATAAATCAGAGATACATTACCTCTTGTACAACTGGGGACCTGGCCCACAACCCAGGCATGTGCCCTGACTGGTAATCGAACCCGTGACTTTTCAGTTCTCAGGCTGGCAATCAATCCACTGAGCCACACCAGCTAGGGCCATTCTTTTCCTTTATGGGTATTTGGATCACTTATAGTTTAGCACTAATATGATAGAGCTGCCTATGAAATTTCTCATATTTCTTTGTACTTATACTCTCATTTTCCTTGAGAGGGAGAAACAAGATGGAAGACAGACTCTTCAGCATTCTCCTTCTATAGTTTTGTTTTTGAACCATGTAAATATATTACTTGTAACTTAAAAAAAAATGCATGTAGTAAACCCTTAAGACAGATGCTTCAAGAATTGTAACTGAGGATAAATTTTGTTTTAAAGATTTCAGTCATTTCCCACAAAAACAGATAATGGAGTTCAATGAGAAAATACAATTTGGCGTTCAAAAAAATTCCAGAGTGTAATTGCCGGTCATAGTGTAGAAACCATTGAATAATTTTTCAAAGTGGTTGAACCACATTACATTCCTACTGCTAGTGTATGCAAATTCCATTTGCTCATCCATCCCAGGATGGTACTGGCAACCTGTTTTTGCCACTCAGAGTTAATTCTTGTAACATCTTCATATCCCTGATTAAGAATGATGCTGAGCACTTATACATGTTTGTCAGCCATTTGGATATCTTTTATAAAATGCCTGTTCAATCTTTTGCCCTTATTTTTGTTGGGTATGCTTTTTTTGTTCTTATTTAAAGATTTGGAATTTTAGAGAGAGGGTAAGGGAGGGAGAAATAAAGGGAGAGAAACATTGATGTGAGAAACATCTATTGGTTGCCTCTCATATGAGCTCCATCCAACCGGGGACCAAATCTGCAACCCAGGCACATGCTCTGACCAGGAATCGAACTGGCAACCTTTTGCTCTGTGGAACGATGCCCAACTGAGCCACAGCAGTCAGTGCTGGTTTGCTTTTTTATTTATTGGTAGTTTATTCTTAAAAATTCTGGATACAAGTTCTTTTTCAGATATGTGTATCTTGACTATTTTCTCTGTTTGGAGCTTGATATAACAAGTATGAAAGAGGAGTGTTTAAGAGTTTCTGTGTATTTAATTCTCTCTTCTATAGGAGCAATATATAATATCTTAAAAAAAAATCAAGCAGAGCACCCATTAGGTTGCCTATCTAAAAAACAGAGAGTAACAAGTTTTGACGATGATATGAAGAAAACAGAACTTATGCACCATTGGTAGAAATATAAAATGGTGCAGCCACTGTGGAAAACAAAATGGTAGCTCCTCAAAGAATTAGAAATAGAATTATCATATGATCCAACAATTCCACTTCTGGGTATATGTCCAAAAGAAGTGAAAGGAGGGATCCAAGAGGTATTTGTACACCCACGTTTATAGCAGCTTTACAATAGCCAAAAAGGTGGAGCCAACCCAAGTGTTCATCAACAGACAAATGGATAGCAAAATGCAGTATACATTACCACTGTAGAACATTATTCAGCCTTAAAAAGGCAAATCTGACATGTTAAACATGCATGAACCCGGAGGACACTAAGCTAAATAAGCCAGTCACAAAATAAATACTGTATGATTATAAGTATATGCTACTTGAAGTAGTCCACCTCAAAGACAGAAGGTAGAATGCTGGTTGCTAGGGCCAGGGCCTTGGAGCAGGGGGTAATGGGAAGTTACTGTTTAAGTTTCAGGTTTGCAAGAAGAGTTCTATGGATGAATGGTGGTAATTAACATAGCACAACCATGTGAATGTAGTGTTACTGACCTGTACATTTAAAATTGGCTAAGGCAGTAAATTGTTGCATATTTTACCATAATTAAAAATTAAATCAATAAAAGCAGTATAAGCATGTTTACTTAGAAGCATGGAAGCAAACATCGTAACAGTAGTAACGTAAGTGGTTACCTTTGAGGAACAGAAATTAAGGGTGAGGGATTGGTGAGGCAGGAGCAGTATTTTTCATTGTGTATCTTGTAGAACCATGAATTTTAAGCTATGTAAATGTATACTTAGGGGGAAAAAGATGTATGAGAACTGACACAAGTAGAAAATATTAGATAGGTCTGTGATGGACCCCAAAACCACTTCAGAAATAAAGGATCTGGCAACATTTGGTCTTTAGACTCTAGTGAGCTTTGAATGAAAAAAAATATCCTGTAAATATGTCTAACTACTATGTGTGAGGCCTTCTTCTATGAGACATTGAAGACAGAGCAGTGAACAGCCTCTGCTCTCAAGCTTACATCTTAGTGGGAAGGTTAAATACATGTAAATATATGGTATGTCAGATGGTGGTGTGTACTGTAGAGAAAACAGATGAGAGTGAAGGGAGAAAGGGAGTTTTTTTTTTTTTAAATAGGGTTGCCAGGAAAAGCTGTATTTGAGCAGAATGAAGACCTAAAGGAAATGCAACAGTATTTGAAACCTGTCATAAAGGGATATGTTTAGTTTATGACTTTGTGGAATAAGAACAGCACCACAGAGCTGAAGCAACCCAGATAAAGTGGGGTGACACTTTGGGCGATTAGGAAGTTCCCTTTCGCCCAAGTATACGTTATAAGACCTCGGGAAGAGCGCTGTCGGGAAAAGTGGCTGCGCTGGGTGCGTAAGCACACAGGAGAGGGCACGGTAGCCCAAGTGATTAAGCAACGACTTACGAGAGATGATGCACAAGTTAGATCTTGAAGATCTAAAATGAGTCGATACTCATTTTAGACAGGAGAGGAAAGGTTATCCAAGAGGATATATCAGCATAAACCAAGGTGAATGGTTTGAATTTTCGTTCTGCCACTTACTAAAAGGACTTGGACAAGTCATTTAAACTGCATCTATTTCTTCGTATGTGAAAAGGTGGGGGGATGTTGTATGTACATAGTAGGCACTCAGATCAGCCTGTAATTATCATAATCCAATGTGTGTGTGTACACACACACACACACAATTTTAAGATTTTACACACACACACACACACACAATTTTAAGATTTTACTTAGAGGGGAAAGGAGGGAGAGGGAAACATCAGTGTGGTTGCCTCTTGCACACCCCCTACTGGGGACCTGGCCCACAACCCAGGCATGTGCCCTGAATGGGAATCAAACCAGCAACCCTTTGGTTCACTGGCTGGTACTAAAACCAGTGAGCCACACTAGCCAGGCCAACATCATTATATTTTTTAAAGGTGGATTATATAGTTTGGGCCTCAGACAATCAGTGTTAGAACTAGTGTATGATGGTGACACTAAAAGGAATGGTCAGACTGGACAGAGAACATGTGTCATCTTGATTATTAGTAAATGTGAAGTCTAGGGTAATTCTTACATTGGATGATTCAGCAGTGGCTGTTGGTATCATTTGAGAGAATTCATGGTAAAACAAACGCAGGAATAAAGTGGGGAGATGCATCAGCTATAAACACATAAAGTATTTACATAAAAGATTCAAATGACTTAGATCAACCATGCAGAATTTTAAGTCCACAATGATGATTAGAAAGCAACAGTTTGAAAAATAAAAAAGGAGTTAGCATATCAAGGAAGCCAAATGAAAACGTGTCAAGGCTGAGTGGCTAGTAGTCCAGCAACACTAGATACAAGAATCAAATAATGTACACGTGTTTCTTAAGGATAGATCATTAGTAACCTTTGGTTGAAGAAATGGATTGTTTGGGTTCGAGAATGAGTGGAGTGTGAGCCTGTGTTTTAATCCAAGTATGTTTGTTACAGGTTTCCTAAACTTCATTTTATTAGGCTAAGCAAGGCTTATCCTCCTAGCTAACAGCTTTTAATTAGTATTAAATAACAGCAAGTATTTAGTTGGTAAAGTGAGCAGTGAATTTTCCTCGTAATTATTAGGTAACAGGTTTTCTAATGTAGAACTATTCCTTTACTCCAGATAGTTGCCCCTTACATAGTTTTAAGACACTATTCTTCAGTTGCCACAGGGTTGGCATTCCTGTACATTGCAGTAAGTATGAAGTTAGCCAGCCAAAGGACCTGCAGGAAGCTTGGCCTAACGTCCCTTGCTGAATGTAAAAACACAAAGAGCATATATACTGACTATGCCCCACCAATGTGGGATGCTATTCAGTTCTTTGGATACTAGGTATTTTAATTCAGTAGTTAAAGCATGTGATTATGTCTGTTATGCCATTGTCTCAATGAACCATGCTTTTTCACACTCAAATGTATTTCTTCTTTAATGAGCTATTGTCATGTAATCACTATTTAAAGTATTACTGATTATATTACTGTAGGTTCATTAATAGACAAAATTACTGTGTTCACACTGGCAAAGTCAAAGTGCTATACTACAAATGGGCTGTTAAGTTTAATAAAAACTAAGGAAGAATCCCATTTGCAGTTTATAGAATTCTTGGCTTAGCATTTTTTCACTTAAATGCCTCTAACAACACACCTGCGCACCTTAATAAACTGTGATCACTACCAAACTTTTATCTATTTTATGACTGAAAAGAAGAGAATTTAGCTATAGCCTTTGCCTCACTTCCAACTTTTTAAAAGAAGCCTTTCAGTATTTAATAAATAATGTATCAATGGCTTTCCCTCACCTTAACAGATAACTTTTGGCCAGATTTTTCTTGCTAAGCTTTACATTTTCCAAGTTTCACTTTAACAAGCACCAGCTGAAAGGAGCATTGGGAGCATATCAAGTAATATTGATGCAAAAATACATCTGTAAAGAAAAAACATTTCTGGGGTTTTTTCCCCATATACTTTTACTACTAAATACAAACACCTTCCTCAAACCACTGTCCTCCTAAACAAAGAGTAATTTTTCTTGAGTTTTTTAACTAAGTTCTTACAGAAAGATTGCAAGGGTTCTGAATAGCCCAAAACTGAAAGGTTGTACATAATTACTTCAGGAATACAAAAATAAAGTTATCTAAGTTCAAATGACAAAACAGATTTTTAGGATCTCAAGACTGGAGAATTGCAAAATGTACCTGGAATTTTTAGGTATGGCAATTGTTCAAGCTAAGAAATATAAATCTTGATAGTAATAAATGTATTTTTTTCACATCAGTGTGGGAAAATTCCCAAAAAATGCAAGTATTTACATGAGGAAACTATTAGTGCCCCCCAAAATACAGTACTAGTGATTTATTTAACTTGATTTCCATACTTTGTCTTTTCTTTTTCAGATAACCACATTTTAATATCTGCTTTGGTGATTGCTAGCACAGTAATTTTGACAGTTTTAGGAGCAATCATTTGGTTCCTGTACAAAAGAAATTGGAATTCTGGTTTCACCACAGTTTTTTCAACTGCACCCCAATCACCTTATAATGATGACTGTGTTTTGGTAATGGCAGAAGAAAATGAACGTGCCATTCAATTTGAATGAAATTTTGGAAATCTCAGATTAAGACATCAAATAAACACTGACAGTGATTCATGTGCAAGATTTTAATATAGAACTTCACAATGTTTTTATTGTATATATCCTTACTTCAGTAACATTCATCTTATTTGAAAATGGAAATTATCTTAGATGTTAGTGGTTTTAACCACCTTCCCAAATGTTACTTTCCACTGGAATGAATGAAAGCTTAAAACCCAAGCAGGGGGGAAAAAAAAACCCAGCACCCACTCTACTTGTCTTAGCTGTTTTATCTTCCCTCCCATTTAGTTGAACCACCTTATAGTTGGGGGGGGGGGGAATTCTATGTACTGCTAGTTTTAGTAATCGCTAGAGACTTGCCTTTTAATAAGCATGATGTGGGGAATAAACCTTTTATATATACTATATATATATTTGGATACATGAGTGCAAGCTTGTTATTCTGGCATATAATTCCTGTTTTCATCTTTATGATTCACATTTATAAAGTTTCAGAGATTGTAACACCCTAAATTCCAGTAAATCAACAAATGGTATTTAGCACTGACCACAAATGGTTAGAATTTTAATAAAATTTTACAAATTTTTCTTGAAACAAAATGATCACAGCCACACCAAGGTGGTGGGAGGCTGGTAGTAGAACACTAGCATCGTAACACCTCTAAGGAATCTTCCACTCTCACACCTGCTCCTTTGTGAGGTGGTTTCATACTCCCCACTGACAAACCATGTCATTCAATGACATAAAAACTAAGCAAAAAATGCAGAAAAATGTACTACTGTAGTGACAATGCTTAAAAGTTTTCAGCACAACTTCTTTAACAATTTAAGGCTGAAAAATAATCATTTGGGGGGTAAAAAATAAAAATGGGGAAAAGCTAAGAGTTACTTTTCTAAGTGTTCTTTACAGCTAAAAAAAAAAACTATTAAAATATAAATGCATAAAGGTCACACTAATTATCTAGACACTTGAGCGCTCAAGTATTCTTACCCCCTAATGCAGAACATTAGCTTATGAATACTTTTCTTACATTTCTCGTTTGACCAAAGGCAACAAAGTCGCAGTTTATGCTGTATTTCCATTGGCCTCACCATGAATCAAAAACCTCCCTGATCACAATAGCACTTTGTTGAGACTACAGTGTAGTTGAATAACTACAGTGATGAGGACTATAGTGTGACTATATGGTACTGAGCAAATTTTACAGCAGCTCCATTATACAGTTATGCTCTGTAGAGCTTTAAATTTCTTATGTAGTGATTTAGAAGTCAAAATATTTTAAGTTCCTAAGTAGCACTAATAGTAGTGAACATTAGAATTCCTTCTTGCTCTCCTATTCAAATTCTTACCTAACACTGTCAAAAATCTGTACTGTCCAATATGGTCGCCAGTAGCCATATGTGGCTATTTAAATTAAAAATAACTTAAAGTTCAGTTCCTCAATTGCATCAGCCAAATTTCAAGCTCTCAAATCACATGCAGTTAATAGTTACCGTATTGGGCAACAGAAACTATACACTATTTCCATTTTTTTGCTGGTCAGTGCTGCTCTATACGCTCCCCTTCTACGCAACTCCCAGACAACATACAACTAATTTTCCTGTTTATTTTGGTTAACTTCTACTTAGTGGCAGCTCTTCCAAAATGGCTGTTTAAAAGTGATTTTACCCCCATGTTCATTTTTTCAAACAAGTTCGTAAGAGGACCCTGGTAATGAAATGCTAAATCTTAATTTTCTTCATATGTTGGGTTGGCCAGAAAAGTTCATTTTTTTCTTCTGTAAGATGGCTCAGCTAGCGCTTGTCCTCTTTTAACTTTATTTAAAAAAATTCTGTTATGACTGTGTGAGACAGCTGTCATATCATTAAGAAAAAACTTACCCAATTGGCGAATTTTTGTGTAGCCATTTTAACATTGAGGATGGTAGAAAACACACAACGTTTTTGGCATATTATGCTTTATTATTTCAAGAAAAGTAAAAACAAGTGAAACGCAAAAAAGATTTGTGCAGTGTATGGAGAAGGTGCTCTGATGGAACGTGTGAAAAGTGGTTTACGAAGTTTGTGCTGGAGATTTCTCACTGGACGATGCTCCACCATCAGGTAGACCAGTTGAAGTAGAGAGATCAAATCAAGACAGTAACTGAGAATATGCAACATTATACCACTTGGGAGGAGAGCTGACATACTCAGAATATCCAAATCAACAAAGTTAACTGGTGAAAACGAAAAATGTGTTTTTTATTTTATGAAGAAAACTAAACTGACTTTTTGGCCAACCCAATATCAGAACATTTGTAAACAGGGCCTTGTATGTAGTTGGTCAACAGATAATAAATAACATATATGCATGTTCGTTTATATTAAGAACGTATAAATTGTGTTAACATCTTGGTTCTAGCTAATGACAGTATAAATTATGTTTGGCATAGATCTGAAGAAAATTATTTTTCCTAGGAATTTGTGACCTTTACAGTGGGTAATGTATGGTCTCTATTTTTGTTCAGATTTTAAAAATGGTAGCAACCAAAGGAAAGACTTTCCTTATTCCCTCCAGTTCCTGTAATTCACATTTACAGGATTCAGAAGCTAATATTAAAGATGTAGTTGCTAAGAAACTACAAGAATACTAAGCTCAAGTCACTGTCTCTTAGCATTTAATATTAAAAATCTCTAAAAATTGTATGTGAACCAATGGAATGTTCCCTACCATTTACTTTTTTAAAAATAAAAAATTTTGTGGGTTGAATCAGAGGACAATTTTCATACTGAGTTCTATTAAAAGTATAAATGTTTCAAATTTAAAGCATCCCTAAGAACAGAATACATGATGAAACTGACATCCTTAAATTTTGTATTTTTGCCTTAAATAAGGCAATGAATGCAAAGGTAACAGTAAAAGCTGAGCAAATGTTTCAGAAATATTTTTATTTTTGTACGAAGTGGAATTTGAAATTTTAATAAAATTCTTGCCTATAAGGTTTGAAGTTTACTTTGAGCACTAGTTTAAAAGGAAACATTTCAAACTATAAAGTAAATCAATCAGTATGCACTTTATTTCGAGCCAAGATTTTACATTAAGACCAACAAACTAACTGGGCAAACTGTTGATTTCCATTTGAGAAATTACATGGTTTCTATTTAGGTTCTGAAAAAGAAGTCTGTTGCCATGACATAAGACTTTATTTAACTTAAAATCACCTGAAGGTGTTTTTAAGTGTATCCTAAGGGTACTGACAGAGAAAATATACTGTTCTGGAACTATTTACAACTCATGACCACAGTGTAGATCTGATGTTGAGTGGGTAAAGTTCATCTGTTCTCCAAAGGTAGTGAAAATAGTAATTCACCTAATAAATGCTCCGGTTAGCAAGGAACAGTTAAAAACGACCAGGATCCAAACAGGTTATTTGTATCATATTTATCTACAAAAAAGTGACAACACTAAAAAACACATTGAAAACCAGTGTTTTAAACTCTGAATGTGGGATTTAAAAAATATTCCATTAACTTGAGATTGCAATATTTTTTTTCTTTTTTCTTTTTTTACCAAATAGCATCTGACTGGCAATTCTGGTATAATTTATAGTTGTAATATTCCGAAAAGAATGTCCACATACTATGGCCTATCAAATATAATCTGAATTTTCCAGATCAATATAAAACTTTATCCATCATTTATACATTTTTATATTTATATATTTTTTTAAAATTAAATTTTATGGCTAAGTGAATTTAGAATTTAAATTAAATTTGGACACCTAATATAATGCTCTTCACAACTTACTCCCCATTCTTTATATTTTTAAACACCGGAAGCAAATGATTATGAAAATGAGGCTGGAACTTAAGGCATTTTAAAAGGAAAAGTAATTAGGTGCCATCTGGCATTTTATTTTGAAAGCATACTTCTGTCTCACTTTTTTTCACTACGTAAAAGACTAAACAGGAACCATTTTCATAAATACGACTATAATAATCAGAACACAAGAAAGAGTTATAGGCATTGCTTAGATATTTAAAATAATGTAATACTTTCCTACTCACCTAAAAGAAAAATACTTTTGATTACCAGTTTATAAACATCAGTCACTGGCCATGTTAAAAGGTCCAGCAAGTAGAATTTTAATTCTGCAATACTTGAGAATGAATATATACACACATACATGATTACATGTGTATATATATTCATTTTATATATGTATTCAATAGGCATTCCCCCACAAAAATGATTCATCCTTAATTGCCAGTTTTAATAAACACTTGTTAACAGATCATCCATTTGTCTTATATGAAGTTAGGCAATATCAAATGTTCTGTTATGGTCTCCATCTTCTTCAGAATCATCCTCTGAAGCTGTTGAAAGAAAACAGGATGATCAAGAATGATTTTAAAGGGGATTAGAGTGGAAGTATAAATATGAAGCCAGAACAGCAATGACTTGTAAAGTAAAATCCCAATTTAGTACACTGTTTGGTCAAACTGACAAATTATGACAGGGTTAGGGTGGTCTGACTGTGGTTAACGCCCATCCACAATACCCGCTCCCACCCAAATCTTTTTGTGTTAGTTCTTATAAAAACAAAAATGTTTAAAAATGTGATTCACGAACATCTTCTAAAAAGTTTCTGAGATCAGTCTGTGTTCACAGTAGCCAATTACACTACAGAAAAAGTGAACTTAAGGCAAGTGCTCTCACACACCTGAGGAGAATATGGCTTATTACCGCTGCATGTTTTGATGCATCCAGTGAGAATTAAAGAAAATGTACACAAAACAACAGGTTATGGGTATTCTTGCAAATTACACCAAAGCTATGTCTCTATAATGCCAAGAAAAAACTCTATTAAGTTTAGTTGAAATAGCTTTATACAGACACAGCCTATGTTAAAATAACTGGATTTGGTAAAAACCTCAGTGAGATTAATCCTATGACACCATAATGTCAGAAACTTACTACTTTTGCAACATTTCTGACCTCAATTTATTTTAGAGTCATTAGTGGCTCAAGAGTATAATATGAAACATCCTGAAATGTCTTTTGGAATAATGTAAGTATTTTGTAAATTGCTCTACATGTTGAGGAAAATGGAAGTTCACTAAAATAAACATTCAACTAGCATTTCCCCCTGTGATCAAGGGCAGAAAGGTTAAATGTATACTCTTCTTGTGTTAATACTAGACAATTTAACAGCACCCAGCAAATGGAATCAAGAAATTATGCTAAATGTACAGATGAAACTTTAAGTTCCATATTTCAGTCTATTTCTTTATCTTGCAAAAGACTTAAAATTTATTTTTAATAAATGATATCAAACATATATATATACACACATACATATATACATGTATATACATGTGTATATATATATACACTTAGCTCATAAATGAGTAAATCCTAGGATTAAGTTTTATGCTGTATCATGAAACAGTATCAAACTAAAAATAATAAAGTAGCTTTTCAGAAAACTTTTCATGTTTTCTATTTGATTTACTCAACAGAAGAAAATTTCAGTCAGAACCCATGTTCAAAATATATTAATACTCTTATATTTGGGAGTTAACTTGTAGCGCCCACAACATCTTTCATTCTCAGATGAGTTGGAGTATATTTCACCTCCATCTTTTTCCTCTCTCTCATATGAATGAATTCCTATTTTATAAACTACTTGACTGCTTTACATACGATTTTTAGACATACTAATTGAAATTTTAAAAATGCATTATCTGGTTATACTTCTGCTTTTAAAACTTAAACATAATACAGAATTAATGACAAAATCCATGTTTTTGAGTAATCATGGAATGAAAGGCTCTTAGGAGGACTAAGTCCGCACACACACCTTACTTCAAAATATGCTGAACACTCTCTAAGGATGAAAATGTTATGCACACTACAGGCAACACTTTTAAGTACTCTGAGGATGATATAGAAGGTAATCAACTGGAGAATACATATTTTAAAACACTTCATTGAGTGTTGGAATTTGATCATGGGGAGCCACTCACTTTGGGTGAAAAAGTACTAAACAGGGTAATCTTGGAGTCCTAGAACTGGTAGAATCACCAATATCTCTGCCTACCCAGTATGAAGCACCATAGAAAAGGGTATGTTGTACAGATGCCTGTAAAGACTTGGGCCATTAAATGCTTTCATATAGGAGCCCAGGCAGAAGTCCTAATGCTGGAACATGATCTTAAAAGATTGGTGCTGTTGGTGGAGCTGGCTACCTATTAATGGTCCATGAGGACCTGAACAAGGAGCAAAACAAAACCACCCTGATAACCACCAGCCTACCACTGTGACTTCTGTTATAGACTCAGAATTAGGATTCTTTCACCTCTATTTTCCTAGAACTATACATAAACCCAGGATAACCCTTTATGAACTAGCGAAACTGAGTAACCAGTAAAATTTCATGCACACACACAAAAATTAACAGAGTAAAAAGTATGGTTTGATTAGTTCTCAAACATGTCTTCTTTTTAAGTGAAAATTAAGTTGATCAAAACCAAAACTGTACTCAAAATAAAATATACTGATCGTTAAAATTAGATCCTTCTGTACCTTAAAACTAATACTATTTTTTAAAAATTTGTTTTAAAAAACTAATGTCAGTTGCCCAGCCAATCTTTCCCAAATCAATTTGTATTATTAAGCCTACAAACAAAGCTCTAATTTGAGAGAGTATATACTTCGGTTTTGCTCTGTGGGTTTAATTTGCAAAAGTATATTCAACAAGTCTGGGGAGGGGAAATTCCACCTACTTTCGAGATCTTCCATATGTGCCTGAAGAGTTCTTGCAAGGTTAATAAACTAGAAACAATGCAGAAAAAATACAGTAGTTGAAATGTTGCAAATGGATCTAAAGAGAGAATCAGTATAGGAGTTTCATTTCTTTTAAAAACTCAAACACCATTTAAGCTTTTAAATAGGGGTCTCTCCCCCCCCATCAAAAATTACAACGCTTAAGTATATTGTTTTAAATTTTTTTTATAAATCATTATTAGCCATGTAGAAATCATGTATTCATCATGTAGAAATTGGGTGCAATTGCAGTATTTTTATCAAATAACATTCCTCTTGCATAAATATAACACATAACAATTATGAAGAAAAATAATTAAAAGCTTTACAATGTGGACGCAAATAAATTCTATTTTAGTGGTCAATTTTTAAAAACTGAAACAGGAGTCCATCTTTAAAAAAAAAACCTTTTCCTGTCTAAATTTGATTGTTTTACAAATACTACAATTCTGTATTTTTTAAAAATCATAATAACTTGTACTTTAATATTAATTTGACTACAGCTCTTACAAAGCCATGAATTCAACAAACCTGACCACATTCTTTATATGGTTTATTCATTCTTAAGAGAGAAGTCAGTTTATGGCATTAACTAAATTTAAGTACTATGATTTCTAAAGTACTCAGAAGACGAGATCTTTGCTCAAATTCTGAATGGTCTTAAGATGGTTCATTCTCTCTTCCCTCAACAACAATAATTTGTCAGCTAGCTGACAGGTATAATAATGTCCACCTGATGGTTTCAGAAAAATGTTTTACCAATTTATAAGTATAATATACGTTGATTTGTTAATTTTTAAGATACCATAAACTGCTAAATTTTTATCCCTGCAGTGAACATTTATATAAAAATATTTAAATGGTATGTTTATGAACACATTTAAAACTGTCAAGTGTTCAGACTACTACAGTAATGAGATGTAGGTGGCCCTAGCCTCTGCTACACAAAATGGGTAAGGCAACAACAGCACACAAATTTCCTCTGGTACACAGAGACAAATAATACTATTTACTAATACCTAACAAAAAAACAGCTAGCTTAAGTGTTAAAGTAAGATAATACTGTACAGATCGAACACCAATTATTCTGTGTCTTAAATAGTTTGTATTATGGACATAAATAAATCAGAACACCAATAAGCTTTTACATGACAGTAACAAATAAACTGAAGTCAATTTCCCATAATCTTTTGGTTTTTGGAGTTCAGTTTCAGGTTGTAATACTGAGTTGTCACTCATTGCCCCCGCCCCACCAATTAAAAAGGTCCCCACCCCCTTTGTGTTTCCAGTTCTCTGGCTTTCACTAAAATATATTCCAATAACCTTTAAGAACTAGAAAATGACTTCTTTCTCTAAGATAGCTTTGAGAAAATTAGGCTGCCTGATATAGAAGACAGCAATTTCTATTAAATCTACAATATCTTTATTTTTAAGATACATTTTGATATTAAATGCTCCCCAAAGGAACTAGAATGTCAGTATATAAAATAAACTGCTTTCCAAAGCCAACACTTGGTTCATCACACCCTCCCTTCTCCCCCACTCCAGTATTACTTACTCGGACTCGTGTGCTTGGTTCATTTGTATTTCCCATCATATCTGAAAAGCTTTGTTCCCAAAAGTGCAGTAACACAACAAGGTAGAGACCGGAGCTGATGAATTCGTACTCAGCCTTCAATAGGGAAGCAAGACAAGAGAAATAGAAGAATATGGAGAATAAAAAATTAGTAAAGTTGAGATTGATAGTCATAGCACACTGATAAACTAGAGGAAATGTATTCATGTCTAGTTCCTAGTTAAGAGATATGGTGCCATCTATTAATTGGAAATGAAGGGCCATCCTTCAAAATTTCTTAAATTTTCACTAATGCTAATAACAAGTGCAAATAAGTATGTCACTATCCTCTTTAGTCTCTCACAGTCTTCCTTCATGCCATGATTTCTATAAAACCATTTTGATGGTAGAATGAATGAATGCCCTGGTTCTCTGGAAAGCTCATAAAAGGTTTCACTGCACAAATGACTGTAAATGTTTACTTAAAAATGACCATTTCACCTACAGCTAAATCAATACACTATATAACTAAAACCTAACGTGATCAAGTGTTTCTTATGTAATACAAGTAAAGGCAATTGTAATTACAAAATAAAAGAAACACAGTAACTGTTCCTCAAATAGTTCTGATTCCAAACAACTCCATTGTTTTGAAGCTAAGACTACAAATCATATAATGTTTTTAAAATCTAAGCTGTCCTATAGATTTTATACAGCAAACTATCTTTAAGTTGTATTTAACTTATCTGAGGTTAAAAACTGTACATTCTTAGTACTAACTTTAGCAAGTTATCAGATTCTAGAGTATTCTGAAAATTTTAATTTATTAAAAGTTTCTTGAAATACATAACTAACTTTGCTTATTTTTAACTAAAAAAGGAAATTATTGATAAGATTAAAAAAAGTTAATAGTTATCATCTCGACAAAGATGAAGCCACTGAATAATGAAAGACTAAACTGTATTAAACTAAACACTTAAAATGTGGATAGTCTGTCAGGCCACTAGAATCCATGATTCACACACAAAAAAAGCCAAAGCCAGGAAGCTTAAACCATCAATAAAAACATTCCTGGTTGAACTGAAAGATGCCTAGAGAAGAAAAAATGACAGAGGAGAAAAATCATCCTTTGAAATCTCCTCTCATTTTGAGAAAAATAAAAATTTCTCTGCGTTATTCCATCTTCCCATACTCTTTCCTCCATTCTTTAAAGTACTAATGCTCAGTTGCTGAGAGACTCCTTGGGGCTTATAAAAAACTCGTTTCTTAAAATGGTCTTCTTTTTGGACAACTGACTCATTAGAGAATGATACAGTAGTTAGTATTAGAGTAGTTTATCTGTACTACATCAACTGCCTAATGCTTCATTCTCTAGATCAGCGATTTTTAACCTGGATCTTGGCAACTAGCCTCAAGAGATCTGGGAATCCCTTAAATTATATAGAGATTTTGTGTCTTATGTGTATTTTTTAAGAAGTGTTCATAGTTTTAATCAGATTTTCAAGGGGTATCCATTTATTCCCACATTTAAAAGTAGTGAGTGTCCACAAAAGACCATATACTACATTATTCAATTTCTCAATTTCTATGAAACGTTCAGAACAGATAAACCCATGGAGACAGAACACAGGTTGGTGGTTTCCAGGGGATATAGGAAGGGGTGTAATGAAGAGAAACTGTTTAATGGATACAGGGTTTTTTTTCAGACAGATGAAAATGTGTTGGAACTAGAGAGAGGTAGTGGATGCACAATATCACAGGTGTACTGATACCACTGAATTGTTCACTCTAAATGGTTTTTATGTTATATGAATTTCATGTGAATAAAAAAGGGGGAAGAATCCATTACCCCTTCATTTAAAAAGTATTTTTTACGGATTCATGCATTTTCTCACCATTATATATTTCTTTTTATAACAAATATGCTAAGCTCACTTGGATGATATGGCTCTAGGATCACCCTAGTAATCTCTTTTAACATCATTTCTCCCCCTCCCCCCATCTTCCTTTAGGAGAAAAATATTGAGCTCTTCATTTTAACTATATAATTTAAGCATTTCAAAAATTTTTTTAAATTTTAAGCTCTTTCAGAAATAAAAATTAGTGATCAAAATTACTGGGGAGCAGGAGTTATTAATACGTACTAAAAACCCCTGAGAAATAAGAAGAAAGTATCTGAAAATCCTATTATGATCAGAGAAACTCTGGCATTATTCATTGTATTATTAACTAGACTGTAATGATACAGAAAACAATGTGAACTCGGAGTAAAAGATTTCATAAAATAACTTGTTCAACACAGAGTTGAGAAGCAAAAATGGGGAGGATGGTGAGAAAAAGGATAGTAAGAACATGTGGTCAATATGCACATAAAAATCATTCCTAAAATAAAATATACAGATATAGGAGGCAAATACAAAGCTTGGTGTTTTAATCATGTCCCAGTGCTGAGACATTTGCAACTGAGACATCTCTGGGGAGATATGGTCAACATGCCTACTTTGGGACCACTTTCCTAAGCTTTTATTATTTTCAGGTTTATTTAGGATGTATTTTTATCTTAGTAAACACAAAACCTGTGACTTCGTTATTTACCTTTCAGTTACAAAAAGTTATGGGGAAAATAAAAATTATAAAATTATAATACCTAATGCAGTAACAGAACATTAAGAACATTATTATTACTATTTTTATTATTTTTAACGCCAGTTTCCTGACCATGTTTTAATCTTTTCTTCAACAGTTGTCCTTTAAGCACAGAATAGACACTTACCCAATTAAGCAAAATATACTAACTTGTTCATTTGCATGGGCTCTGTGTAGTTCATGAATATCAAAATCCTCCAGGTTAAGCTGCAACTTCTCTTTACAGAGTTCACAGGTGGTTACAGCCTCTAATGAAGAACCTGGTAAAAATTAAATTACAAGTTAAGCTTAGTTTTGCTATGTCTCCACAAAACATTTTTCCTTGTGTTTAGAATACAGACAATCGAAAGAAAGAGGAAAGGAGGTAGACTGGATTACTGCCATAAACCAGTAATGTCTCCTAAAATAGCAATCAGCAACATCTAATGTGCATGTCAGCTCCTACTCTATGGTATTTAAGTCTCCACCCATTATTTAGATACCTATTCCCCCCACTCCCATTTACTCATACATTACAGATCCTGGGGAGCTGACAATGGAATGTCATCTGTACTTCCTACTTCCTCCTCAAGTACCTTGGCAAAATGGCATTAAAACAATGTTTAATAGCATAGTATCTCAAACAACTGCATATACCCAGGCCAGTATCTTTGATGTGAAAATATATACCTAAGACCTTTTGTGGTTTAAGGAATGTGCCATCCTAGGCTAGGAGGGAAAAAAGAAATCTACTGTTGTCCAGATCAAAACAGCATCTTTCCGCCATAAAAGTAATGCAGTCCTGAAACATGACACAACATATATGAATCCTGAAAACATTATGGTAGGCAAAATAAGGTAAATACAAAAAGGACAAATACTTCACTATTCCATTTATGAAATATGTAGAACACGCAAATTCAGAGAGAATGTAAACCAGAATTTAACAGGAATTGAGAGGAGGAGGAAGAGGTTGTTACTACTTGATGGACAGAGTTTCTATGTTGTGTGACAAAAATTTTAGAAACAGATAATGGTGATAGTTGCACAACATTCTGGATATACACAATGTCACTGAATTGTATACTTAATAATGACTGAAAGGGCAAATTTTACATTGTATATATTTTATCACATTTTTTTTTTAAAAAAAGCTCCTTCTGTCCCATATGCATTCAACATTTGGTTATTCCTAAGCTTCTGATTCCAATTAAGTAGGTGGTAGTGTTTGTTGTCTAATTTAACATAAAGCCATTTTTCCCCACTGTATTTTCTTTTAGATGGGGCTTTAAATTGAAAAAATGTTCTAAAAATTAAAGGAAGTCAGGTGAGTAACAGGATAGAGGTTAAGCTGTGATTCAGTATCTGCTGAGTGCTTACCATGTGGCAAGCAATATTACAGGTTTTGGAGATTCAGAGAGAAAAGAGTAAGTAGTAACCCCGTCTTCAAAGAGCTCATTAAACTCTTGGAATTTAATAGCAACAATGCTTTAAATAATAAAATTTGGCATAAAGTCTTAAAACAGCAGTAGTAACTTACATTCTCTGGGAAATATCTAAAGGAAAGTGAATGCTATTCTGAGGTAGTATGTTGTCTATATTGTCTTAAGTGTGCGTTAGTCAAATTACGCTAAGATGTTCACTATGATTGTACCACTAAACTAAAATCAGGTTAAGTCCATACATAATGTAACCTGATGGAGAATATAAAGAATGTGGAAGACATTTAGAAGGCTTCCTCTTATCACGTATTTCTTAAAACTATTCTCTGAAGCAAAAAAACTTTGAAGATCACTAAATATGGACCTTGGAGATCATTCAACACAATTACTTTACATCTCAGGGCTTCATTTTCCTCTTCTATGGAATGAGTAGCTTCAAAGAAGTTGTTCAAAATGCCATACCCAGGTAGGAGGAACCCATTTATCCCTACATTCTTTAATCTATTCTTTTATCATTATACCCCACCTCATTCCAGTAGGCCCTGACTACATTTGCCTAAACTTGCACTAGACTTCCTCTATTCATCTCTGTACATCCTGTAGAGTGTTTTGTACATCCTGTAGTGTTAAAAGTCTATATATGGCAACTGCTTCACACATGTTTATGTATGAGAATGTCTTCTACCAGATGGTGTCTTTATGGTAAGTATGAGAAAGGCTTGTGTAAATTTATTGGAACGGTTCAGTTCTTGAGATCATTATAGTCATTTGATCGTTTCTTAAGTACTTAAAAAGTACTTACTCTAACCTTATAAAACCCATTTGAGTACTACCATGTGCCCAGTACTGTGAGGAACCATTTATATAAACATCATCTCATTTGACCTTCACAATAACTCTATGAATTAAGTATTACTCAATTTCAGTCACCATGGAACTGAAGCCCCACCCCAGACCTACTTAAGAATATTCAGGAGTGGAGCTGAGGCATCCATATTTTTTAAAACTCCAATGTGTAATTTTGATCAGTAGCCATGGTAGAGAACCAGTATTAAGAAACTCAAGATCCTATAGTTAAGTGTTGGAGTCACTCCGGTCTAGGCTTGTCTAACTACAAAAAGTCAGTGTTCTTAAACAATACACTGCATTTGTTATGTTTTCCTACATACACAACACTAACAATCCAATTGCATATATATTAGAAGGTGAGTCAAGTTGTTTTTCATTTTGGTAATAGCTAACATATCTAGGCTCTTACTAAGTATCAAGAACCAAGTTGGGCACTAATTTAATGTTAATAACACTCTAGGGCAGTGACTAATAAAGCCTATGAGGCTGTCAAAACACCATACAGCCAAGAAGAGGCTATAGGTGAGATGGCATACCCCGCAGCTTTGGGATCAGGCTAGCTTAAAAGAAAAAATAATTCCCCTACCCCAAGAAGAACTTTGCTACTTGGCTGGAGATAAAAAGTTTTCCAGTAGTCCCATAATCTCTAGCTTGAACAGGTTTACCCGAATCCTCCAAGATCATTAAAATAAAAGCCATGATACCTCAAAACCTATTTGCTTACGTCTCCAAGGTATCATTATCAGACCTTCAATCTCACACAATTATGTACGTTTATTAACCTGATCTAATTTTCCAACTTTCTTACCCTACTAGTCACTCCACTATGTCCTCTGGTACTCATGGTCTAATATAAACAAACTCTTCTTGTAACCCATCTCTTTTCTGAATAATCTATTCAGCTCCATGCCTGAACCACAGTGGCCCCCCGCCGCCCCCGCCCCAGTCTGGTAACACACTCTTCTGCAGCCCTTTCTTCCCCTCAGAACTCCTTGTTCAGGACCAGGAACTGGGGAAAGATGTGCCCCACACCAACTGCTGTTCTGAAATTCCAAGCCCCTCCTCATTCATTAATGACTTTAACACCTGGCTCTCTGTCTTTACCAAATTATTCCTGGCTATTTCAGCATCCACATAGGCCATTCGCTTTTGATTCTGACTTCCTGAACTTCCCTGCTTCCAATATTAACCTTCCTCACCACAGCTACCTACTCTGTCGTCATACGCTTTACCCTGTCATCAGAGTTTACTGCACGACCCATAAATATATATTTTAAGTATCCTCTCATGTTGTGTACCTACTATTTCTAAAAATTCTCGCTCATCTACCCTGGCAATTCTCTTCAATGTCAACGAGACTCAGACTCAGACCTTACCACTTTCTCACTATCCACTTCCTAATATACTTGGTTCCCGCCTGATTTCAGTTACCATGAACACAATTACATCCCTACAAATACCCTTAACTCCCTTCGTCCTGTTTGTCTGGTTAGGATCCCAACCCCATCTGAACTCAAATCTGTGGCTGTATCCAAACATCTCAAAACTGCTTCTAAAAAAAAAAAAAAAAGTACACATGTATCTCACTTGTGCAATCATATTCATGGTCGCTAATTTTTAGGAAACTGCTAATTCCTGAAAACATCTTAGAATGGTATTTTCCACACACAACAGAATCTCTTAAAACTGTCTCCTAATCAGATAAAGACCCTATCTCTCCATTAACTAAGAGAACAAAAGCAATTACATACGAATTCAACATCTCACCAAATAAACCAATCAACATCCGTATTTACACTCGTCTTCTTGAGATTAAGTACTCCCCCCGCGCCCCCCCCCCCCCCCCCCCCGCCCCTTAACGGCTGACTACTTGACTTGTGCTCTGGATCCCATCTTTCTCTCTCCTCAATTCGATCTAATCATGCTTAGGACCCCACTACTCCAGAGACAAGCTACCAAATCCAATGGTCATTTCTTTGTTCTTATCTCTTTGTAGTATATTTGACAGGGTTAATTACACACTCCTTAAAACATTTTCTTTTTTTTGACTTGCACAAGACTCCATTTTCTTAGTTTTCTTCTTACCAGACTGAGGCTGCTCCTCAAATTGCCTTTTCTGTTCTCACTTAACATTTGGGAGTCCCAAGGCTCTGTCCTGTGTTCATTTCTTTGATATCTGCTCTTGTTCTAAGTGACCTTATTTAATCCCAAAACTTAAAATATTACATATGTGCTTATGATTCCCCAAACTGTAATTTCCAATGCTAATATCCCCCAAAACATCATGCTTGTCTAGCTAACTGTCCAGTTGACATTTCCATAGAGTTAATAAGCAGTTCATACATATTTCCAAAACAGAACTCTTGATTTCCTGCACCAAATTTATCTCAATCCCATTATCCTTTATTTCAGTAAATGACCCTACCATTTACTTAAGTTTCTCATGGCAAAAAATATGGGCTTCCCTAATTGTTCTTTCTCCTTTACTCTACCACACCAATCCACTGGCAAGTCTTACAGACTCTATCTCTTAAAACATACCAGAATCTATCCATTTCTACCACCACAATCACCACCTCTTATAAGATAAATTTCTGGTTGGTTACCACATAGATTACTGGTTGGCTTCCCTGCTTCTACTCCTTCCCTTCAATTCTACTCTCCACAAAGCAGCCAAAATAGAAGTAAGATCATATCACTCCCCTGCCCTTCAGTGGCTTCTCCTCATACTGAGATAAAAATCTAACTTCATACATTAGCTTTAAAAGTTTTGAATAAACTAGCCTCTACTAATCTCTCTTATTTCAACTGTATCATCCCTTTCCTCGCTCACTACTTATAATCCAGACACACCAAGGTTCATTCAGTTCTAAGTCACGGCTATCTTAAAGTCTTTGCACTAGTTGTTTCCTCTGCTGGAATGCTCTTGCCCTCTTCTGGATTAGCTAGCTCTTCTTTGTTCAGTTTAGATGTCCTCACCTCAACAAAACATTCCTTTAACACCCAATACTGCCACCACAAGAACAAGTACCTTCTCTGTCTTATCACTCTATATACCTCACACCCAGAACAGTACCTGGTTCCGTAACAGGCATTCAATAAACAAATAAATCTCTACAGCACCTTATTATTACTGCTTAACTTTTTAAACACCATTAGAAACAATAAATCTTTCTCAAGAACACACAGTTGGTAAATAGTGTTTCTTTTTTAGAAATATTACATGATCCAAAGAAATTTTACATGATACAAGGGTTACACGACACAAGGGTTACCCAACAGTAACAAATCATAGTTGTATTATACCTATGAAAAAGTGTTTATCAGGTAAATGAAATATACTACTACTCTAAATTAAATTTATGATGCAAGACAAATATTCTTTAATGTTTTTGCTTCAAAAAATGATCAAGGCACTTCTGTAATAAATTCTAATGACTTGTTAAAGATATGCACACATACATGCCTCTCTTCGAAAAAACTGTGGAAACAAAATACACTAAAGGGTAAACCTTACCAGAGTTAATTTTCGCCTGTAACCACTTTTTCATACACTCTTGGTGGACATACTGCAAACTTCCTGTGCATTTGCATGGCTCTATTAGCAAATTAGATGATGACGCAGCTGCCATCTGACAAATTCTACATAAGTCACCTTCTTCTTCTTCAGAGTCCTCTAAAAGGAGGCTGAAAAAGAAGGCATATTTCATAAAGCAGAGCTAACTGGTTAATCATTCCCAGTCATACATAATCCCAAACAATACCTTTTTTGTTATTTTTACTCACTCTTTCTGGTTAAGAAAAAAACAAACAATAATAAAGGGGAAAAAACTATTGAAAAACCATGAAAACCTGTTACAGTGAGAATAAAAATTATAGTAAATATTTTAAAGGTAAATGAAATAAGCTATTCTACTGCTTTCTTTAAATCATTTAAATAATTTTGTCTTTGGTACTACAGTTTAGGGTCCCTATTTTTCACAATCACTTTACATGTATCCCTAAGAGATTTTAATTTCAGCAGTACCATAGACTACTTCAGTACCCCTCACATCTTCCAGAAAACTTTTACATCAACCTGAGTGACTTAAATAGAGTAGTGACTTCTTATTTGTATGTTGTCAGAACAACATGTGTTCAAACTGATAAGCTTTTGTATTTAATCACAGTAAAAAACCATAAGAATAGATTTAAAAATTCTCCATTTCCCCCATCCCCAGCAATGTTATTAAATCATCTTGATTTAAACAAGGGTAGGACTTTAAGTGTGGAGCAGTTTCCATTAACATATATTGCACTTAATAGGCTAACATACAGAGTAATTTTAATGTAGAATAGCTACACAGAAAGAAATTTTTTGTTAAAATGTCTATTGGCTTAGTCCACTACTGACATAAAAGAGGTATTCAGTAAACTGATGATACCAAATGTTAAACTGTTACTCAAGTAAAATTTGGATTGTATGGGTTACTAATAAATTTAGCAACAGACACGTGGAAAAGGAATAGGTATACAGCTGTTGGGTACCTTTCATGCCCTGGCTTAACCAGAGGTATGACCTCAACTATAAATCTTCACGTTTTACCTTTTGATTTAGCTTTCTACAGTTCATTGCTTCAATTAACTTCTACTCGGGAGATTCAATTTTTTTTTTTACACTCTTATTACAGCAGCACCCCCACCCCCATCTGCAGGGGATGCATTTAAACACACTCAGTGGATGTCTGAAACCACAAACAGTACCAAACCCTACACACTATGTTTTTCCTTTATATACCTATCTATGATACAAGTTTAATTTAAAAAAGAAAACCAACGACTTTATTTACTGATTTTTTGGGGGCAGGGGAGGAAAAATATGGGAGGGGAGGGTGAAAGACAGAGGGTGGAGGAAAAGAAAAAGAGAAACATCAATTTGTTGTTCCACTTATTTAGGCATTCATTAGCTGATTCTTTCATGTGCCCTCACAGTGAAATCGACACTCCAACCTTGGTGTATCGGTACAATGCTCTAACAAACGAAGCTACCTGGCCAGGCTGATAAAAGTTTAATTTATAAATTAGGCACAGTAAGAGATTAACATCAACTAATAAAACAGAATGATTATAACAATATACTGTAATGAAAGTAATATGAATGTGGTCTCTTTCAAAATATCTTATTTTACTGTCTGTACAGGGTAGATATGTGGGGAAAAAGAAATGAGTCACATCATGAACAGGAGGACAAAGCCAGGTGGGGTGAGATTTCATCATGCTACCCAGAAAAGTGTATGATATAAAATTTATGAATTGTTTACTTTTGGAATTTCCCACTTAGTATTTTTGAACCACAGCTGACTAAAGGTAACTAAAACCATGCAAATGAAACTGCAGGTAAGAGGAAACTACTAGATGCAGAGTGTCTTAAAATCCTCACAAGCAAAAATATAATAAACACACACAAACTCTATGGCAAAATAACCAAGAGATGCTTCTTTTTAAATCATCTAACCAGACAGAATTGTGCTGGCTTAATCTGTTTCTCTCTGGAAATCGTGAAATTGAAAGCTTTGCCAACTTCTTACACCAATGCACTCAAGTTAATGTAACTTGAATGCAAGAAATACTATTATAGTTACAACAATTAATTATAATAGCTGGAAATAGTTATAACTACATTCCTGAGAAGACACCATGCAGGCAGAGGGAGTTGCTACAATAATGTTAAAGCTCCTACTACCAGGGCAGAGTGTATAGCTTTCCAAGGGGAAAAAAAAACATGGAATTAAAAAGCAGGTAGAAAACTGTCACATGGTACAATTTGCCCTATATAAGGAAAAATGGGAATATAGTAGTCCAGTGCCCAGCATTTCAGAAAGCATCTGAAACTCCCTCTTTCCCCAGAAGTGGATTTGAATGTATTTCCTCTTAAAAGTACAAAAGATTCTGGAATGGTAGTAATAGCTATGCCCCCCACAAATTCCATTACCGTGGGCCTTTGAGTCAGAAAAAATACCCTATAATCTTAGCTTTACAGTCTTTTTTCCTGTATAAAAATATAAAAGTATGCTTCACATGTATTACCCTATCTCATTTTATTAATTTACTACACAGAAAAACCAAATATATACTGAGGACAAAATTAATAATTAAGTTGGGAATAAAGTCTCTGATCTTTCATCTTTTCACTCTTACAATTCCTACCAGAGATTTTTAAGCAAACTTCCACTGCACAAAAGATTTCATTAATATAAAGATTTTTTTCCTTAATCCTCACCAGAGGATGTTTACTGATTGGAGGTGGGGGGAGATAGAGAGACAGACACAGAGAGAGAGAGAGAAAAACACTGACCAGGTGCTTTCCATCAGAGCTCTGACAGGAGCTCTAACCCACAACTCAGGTATGTGCCCTGACTGGGGATTGAACCAGCAACCCTTTGGTATATGGGATGATACTCCAACCGACTGAGCTACCAGCCAGGGCTGTACAAAGATTCTTTAAGTCTGAAATTTAAAATGGTCTTTCTATCAAGTAGTCACAATATATAAAGAATATTCAATATATACTTAGAGGACTTCGAAAACAAAATTAAAAATATATACAAATAATTTTACTTCCAAAAGATCTGAGGTGAAAATTACAAATAAATCATGTTGGTAATCATCTTAATAACCCACAACCATTTGGGCATCCTTACAAATCCAATTTAGCACTTGTCTACCAAGGAATAGGATAGGAGATTAAGATTTTTGTCGTTGCATGCTGTTTAAAAAATAATCTTTAGGTTATTTCTTGATTCTGTCTACACCCCAGTGCCTACCTTCATTATTATTTCTCACCCATTTTACCTGAGTAGGGGGTAACATCTTACTGTAAATTTCAAGGGAAAAAATTTTATATAAGAAGCCATTTTAGATTTTTTTTCCTCCTCTCTAATCTGCTCTTCCTTTATGAGCTTAAGACAGGTATTCAAATTTACCTCTCTTTTATTTTCTGCAGTTTTTCTGGGTCTCTTGAAGGTGCACTTTTAGTTTTATCACTTTTCCCATCAGATGAACTCCAACCTGAAGGAATAATATCTACAGTGATCATGACATTGTCGGTCAAATTATTTCCAAGTGCTGGGGGGACTGCAAATCGAAATAAGGAACCAGGAAGGACTCCTGTTACTCCTGGGTTTCTTCCACTGGGAGCCGAATCTGATGTGGAGCCCCCTGCAGCAGCACTGCTCGATGCTGCAGCTGCTTGTGATCTGCTGGCAGCGGCCCCAAGGGGATCACTCTGTGCTTCAAGGTGAACCACTTCACTTGATTCTCTTCTAAATAAGTGATGAGATCTAGATGGTATATCAGAGGTAGGTATCCTTGAAGATTCATCTCGTCCCTCTCGCCTCCTTCTAGAGAACAAAGGTGTGCATCTATTTCTAAGTGAGGAAGATAACCATGGTCCTGTATTTCTACCTTCAGATTCTTGGTTAAAATTTTCTGAATCTGGCTCAGAGCTATGATTTTGGCTAAGAGATGACAAACCCCATCTTCGCCTAAGAAATCGAAATCCCTGAGAAGGTTCAGATGCCCTATTATCAGGAACGTCAGAAGTCGTTGTTGCATTGCTACGAGACTGTGAGGCTGTCGAGATTCTTGGAGAAATATAAGAATTTTCAGAACTCAATGATCTTGTATTTAAGGATTCCTGACTAGACCTTCGTGAAAAAAAAGTAGATGACATACTAGAAGCTATACGTGACAGCAATCTCCTGGTCGTACGTCTCCCTTCATTGTCAGAAGATTCTTGAAATGATCTTTGAGATGAACCAACCCTACCTGAATTGCTTATGGTTGAGGTTTCGTCTCTATTTGAAATATAAGAAAATCCAGGCTGTGTATTGTTTTGGGGAGATTCCAATTCTCTTGGAGAAAAATTTGATCTTAAAGAATTTCTACTAGAACATGGTATGGTCTGATGTTGAGGAGACATTTGGTGGTTTGTGGATGATGTATTCAATTGTAAAGTGCTCACTGAGTTCTCTTTTGGTCTTGCTCCCTGTGAATATGAAGAAGGAACTCTGTCTTGAACATCTATTTTTGAAAGAAAGGAAAAGTAACCAATTACATGAAATAATTTGACTATTGTTAAAATTTGCATAGATTAATGACTAATTACTGCCAAAAAGAAACACTGGTTTCAAACTGAATATTGCTACATAATAACTACACAGCTTAACTACCATTTTAGAAAAAAACCTAAATGTACTTCTTTTTCTACACCCTTGGTAAAAATCTAGCACTTCTATATAAAGTCAACATTACAAACCAAAATAAAGTGAGAGTTTATGAGAGGCAAAAATCAACCTACCAACCTGAAGTACAAGCTGAATTTGTTGATCAGAAATTGATATGGTAAAATATCTAATAACTAAATGGATAAGGAATTTTAAAGGGACCAAATAATTCAATGTAAATGACTCTTACAACAAATAAAAGCAAAATAGTCTTAAGGAGACAGTGGGAGATTTTTCTTACTCTGCTATAGTACAAAAGTTATTTCATATAGTATTATCACCTTTGTAATTTCATGGTAAAACTTGCTGAGAGCTGAAAATTTCTCCGTTTTTTTTCCCCTTAAAGGTAATGGCTGCGATTCTCAGCCCTGACTACTCATCAAACATACCTTTGCTTTTCAACACTGGCTGGAAGCATTGGGTCAGAATAGAGTCCTGACATCTATTAGGAGTCCTGGCACCTAAGTACACCACTGGCTCTAAACTTCAAAGGGTGAGAAATACTACAGGATTCCTTTATGAAGAATACTTATCCATACACCCACAGTTTTAAGAGCTAGGTTACTACTGTGCTAATACATGGAGTCTCATGAAAGAATAAATTATTAGGGGCTAAATCTATTCTATCCTGTACTTTATACTCTCATACCTAGAAGCTGTTGATAGTGTCTACTAAAAGTCACCCACTCAAAGCCAAGCAAATAAAAAGATGTACTTTATTAAATAAAGCAAAGTCTTGCCCTGGCTGGGTGGCTCAGTTGGTTGGAGCATGATCCTGAACACCAAAAAGTTGCTATCTTGATTCCCAGTCAGGGCACATACCTAGGTTGTGGGTTTGAACCCCAGTGGCAGTGTGGCACGGGCACAGTTGGGGCATGTAAAGGAGGCAACAGATTGGTGTTTCCCCCTCTCTCTCAATCAATGAAAACATACCTTTGGGTGAATTTTAAAAAGAACGAAAAAAATTAAAACAAAGGTTTGCCCCAACACAATTATTCTTAAAAAAAAAAACTAAACCTTTTCAGCCCTGATCAGTGGAGTTCAGTTGGTTGGGTACTGTCCCACAAATCAAAAAGTTGCCAGCTGGATCCATAGTTAGGGCAAAAAGGCAACTGATAGATGTTTTCTCCCTCCCTTTTTTCCTCTCTCTAAAAATAAACCTTTAAAAAACAAATATATCTTCTATATAAATCAAACTCTACTTTTGCCTGCTATATTTGTCTATGTCAATTAGCACTTTTTTGTCTTAAGTTACTTAGCTATTGTTTCATGGTACTTATGTCTGAAAAGCTTAAAAGGTATTTCAACTAAATGAAAACCAAGGCATTCATGTTAAATGAGGGTAATTCTAAATTGTCTTAAAATGGTGATGTCAAGCTTTAGTTAGTTTAGAATTTTGACTATCATTACTTATTACACTACATAAGGCAAATTATACTGGAATATAGATACGCAAGAATTATTGAGTGTACTTTATGACATTCTTAAGAGAGTAATCAGCAGAAAATCTGGACATTTCAATTGTTTATATTTTTAAAAGCAAAGAAACAAGGGACTAGGACACATTAAGCTATTTGAAATATTCATTAGGATATATTTCACTTATTCTTTTGTACCATAATTTTAGTGATATAAATAGGAAAATATGACATTATTAGGTAAGTTTATACATACATGATGAACTTGTGAAATCACCACTTCGGTGACTGTAATCCATAAGATTACTAATGGAGGAATCTGCTCTCCTCTCTAAATCTCTCCTCTCTCTCATTAAGTCACTTCCAAATGATCCAAGTACCACTGATGAAGATCTGGGAACTTGACTATGCCTCCAAGAAGAATCTTAAAATAATCAAAGAAGTTTTAGTTCAGAGAAAGCTTTCAAAGTTTCTGATGACAACAAATCTTCAGTATTATACAAGGAGATTGTGATTTATTACAGAAATTCCTAGTTACAAAGTTGTAATCAGAAGCAAAATTTAGCAAAACATAAAATTATTCACTAAATGAACTCATCACTTATAAAATTATTTCCTATTAAGACACATTCTTCTATAATACTAAATTCTATCCCCATACATGATGCCAATGTTTTCGCAATTGTTCTCTAGCTGACTACATACAATGTAAACGATGGGTTGGCCAAAAAGTCCGATTTTTTTTCCCCTGTAAAATAAAAGACAGTTTTCATTTTCACCAATAACTTTATTGATTTTGATATTTTGAGTATGTAAGCTATCTCCTGCTATTGGTTTCTAGTGGGTAGAGGCCAGGGTGCTGTGAACAGCCTTCAAAGCATAAGACAGTCTCACAGCAAAGAATTACTTGGCCAAAATGTCAATAGTACCAAGAAACTTTGCAAAGCACTTCTGACATGTTCCATCAGTCACAGCACCTTCTCCATAAACTGCAAAAATCTTTGTGTTTCAGTTGTGCTTTTACCTTTCTTGAAGTAAGAAAGCATAATACACTGAAAATGTTGTGCATTTTCTTTAATCTTCAATATCAAAATGGCTGCACAAAAATTCACCGATTTGGTAAGTTTTTTAAAATGCACACTGCCTGATATGACAGCTGTGACAATACAATCTAACAAAATTGTTTTGAATGAAGTTAAAGACAACTGAACACTACCAGAGTCATTGTACAGAAAAAAACTAAACGAACTTTTTAGCCAACCCAATAAAATGAGCACAGAACAAAAAATGCAAGACTTGCAAAAGATGCAGAATTTCATGAAAAGTCAATGCAAGTTATATTGGAAAACAGTAAAAATCAAAATAAAAAAATCAAAGCCAGATTGTAATAGAAGCTATTGGAGATTATATAATACTATTAATCAGAATTATCACTGACACTACACATGGTTTGTTCCTATTTGAAGAATTAATGTAGCATTACAACTGTAATCAGAAATTTCTTAGATATGATTTCATTTAAAAATAAATTAAAAATTAAGTCTCAAAACTTTCTCCCCCTTACTATTTACCTTGAAATTTGTATTCTTCCTCTCCTAGTCCCAACAGCCTTAATAATGTCTGTTCATTCAGGAGAATGGCCCAGGGTTTTTTAATGGTATACATTCACAGGGCAGAGGAGAACAAAACTCTGCACAGTGGTGTTTGTCTACAAAGTTAAGGTCAGTCTGCTCTTACCCATCACACTACTTTTAATATCCTCCAGATGGGAGTGTCTTTCCCATGGCGGTCTGCTTTTTAAAGTAGAAAGAATGCCCTGGCTGGTGTGGCTCAGTTGGTTGGGTGCTGCTCCCGCAAACCAAAAGGTCAGAGGTTTGATTCCTGATCAGGACACATGCCCAGGTGGTGGGTTCAGTCCCCAGTCGGGGCGCATGCAAGAAGCAACCAATCAATGATTCTCTCTCACATTAATGTTTTTCTTCCTCCCTCCCCCTCTCTCTGGAATCAATAAAAGAAAAAATAAAATAAAATAGAAAGAAATCGCTGACACTAATTCAATTGGTAATACATATGCATTTCAAGAATTTTATTTCCCGTTGTGTCATCTCAAGTTCTGTCTCACCTTAAAACTATTTCAGGCATTGGTTTGTGTTTCATTTGAGGAGTTTAACAAGGAGGGAGCCTCCTGCCCTCTCAACAAAAAACCTTTTTAATTTGTGCAACAAATGTGTCTGTGAGTACAAAATACCAATCATAAAGCTTTATGGATAAGCCATCTAAATCTCAGAATGGTCAAGTGATTTGTTCAATGCCACACATCGAAAATGAGGGCTAGAATCATGGCTTTCTAATTCCTAGTATAGAACTCCTAATAGAACACCAACAACTTTTTAGATAAAGAATTTCTGTATTTTCTGAAAATAAATATATACCGCAATGTGTCTCATTTATAGAAGATAAGCTTTGAAAATGTTTTTTGCCTACTTCAGAAAAATTGGCTTTCCTAAAACAATTTTAAAAAATTTACCTCCTGTAACAACCAGCCAATGTGTCACTTTTACCAATTTGATTGCCATACATTTGCAGCTTTTCTAATTAAATCTGTCAATATCCTGTTTGTGTAAAACATCTGTACCAAATTTAGAAAATTTCAAGAGCTGATTTCAGTTCTAGCCCTGACTTAAGGTAAGATGCTGGAAACTCCACCACATTTACGAGCCCACTGTCTTATGTTTGCTCTATCTGCTTACTGTTATCTTGTCTTGGGAAAAAGGTTTTAGTCCAAAATGCATGTGAAGTAACTCTTACATAAATTTGATTCTTACCTGATACTGCATTTAAACCATGTCCCACATTTCTCCCAGCTGAGGTAGATACACAGTTTGTACAGGAAAGTTTAGGTCTTTTTGAATCATGATCCCGTTGCTGGTTTTGTGATCTTGAGCGTGCTCCCTGAGTTATCTCAGATTCACTATACCATGTAGATTGAAATGGAGATGCAGATGATGATGCAGATGTAGACTGTCAGTTAAAAAAAAAAATTTAAAGGAACAAAATGCTTGCATTTATTATTAAATTTAATTTACAATATTCAAATACATTCCCAAGGACCAAATTTTTCTACCACATAGGTTTTTCATAATCTTTGTTTCCTTCTGCCCACTTGTCCCTTTATTTTATACTATACTAGTACTTTGTTGGGTAATAAATCCAAATTAATTATTCATTCTATGGAATTGTATATAATCATCTCATTAGGAAATATTTCATAGCAAAAATTTTATTCATTTTTTCCCCTCCTGGTTTAATATTTCAGCCTTCTGTGTAACGTGTTTCCTGTTAAGAGATGGACAGAATGCCAAGAAAGGCACTAACATATAAACTGTGAAGACCCTTCCATCAAAACAGGGCTTCTCAAGCAAAAGAAAATTTTATCCTGGTTCTAATGCTCATTCTTAAGACTACAATCATACAACACTATACACATTATGTTTTAAAAAATATTTTAATATGTGGAATTCCTTTATCAGTGAAACAAGAAACAGCTAAAATAAGTATATATTTTAAATCTCTTAGCTCAATATCTTTTTTCTATTTTTTTTTAAAGATTTCATTTATTTATTTTTAGAGAGAGGAGAAGGGAGGGAGATAGAGAGGGAGAGAGAAACATTGGAGTGTGAGAGAGAGAGCAATCAGTTGCTTCTCATATGCCCCCAACTGAGGACCTGGCCCACAACCCAGGCTTGTGCCCTGACCGGGAATCAAACCAACAGCATTTGGGTTCACAGGCTGGCACTGAATCCACTGAGCCACACCAGCCAGGGCTCAATGTCTTCTCTATTAACATATAAACATATATACACAAAGTAAAAGCCAAAACACAAAAGTCACTCAGAATGTATAAACTATTTTACTCCTTCCTAATTCTTCAATTGGTTGGGCAGTATGCCCAATATAGTGCATAAAAGGGGAGATTAGTTTGTCTCCTTAAAAATAACAGGTTTAAACGACAACATAGTATTTCAACCACAATGACAGAAATTGTCCTTTTATTTTACAAGAAGTTTTCCTTCATTAAACATTTTATAATAATTTAACATGCATGGGTTAACAGTTCATTTTATTAAAGAATATTACATAAAAACAATGTTCTTTTTTTAATGTTCTTTTAAGTGTTGTATTTCTTGACAAAAGTTAAAAATGTCATATAACATGAGTGGTAAATTCAGTCTATGTTAATCTAATATTCACATGATAAACATAAGACAACAAACAATAAATAATTATAAATAAGGCTATAATAGGAGATACTGTGAAAGTTCTCCAGAAAGGCAAGAGCCTAACTATGCCTGAGGAAAGCAGGAGAGAATACACAGAATGTGAGAGTTCACCTGCAGGCAAAAGAGGAACGAGACTGTAGACAACACAAAAAGATGTATAAATCCTTCTATCCTATGAATTTTCTAAAGCATTACAAACTTACCTGATTTTCTATTATGCTTCAATTATTGGAAGCACACTGCAAATATTCAGGGAATTCTACAGAATAAATTGCACACATATGGAAAAGCAGAAGATGCAAAGCTGAAAAAGCAGGAACAGACTACATCATCAGGATTTTATCTATCCCTTGCCCAGAGACTGTTTTGCTAATTGAATGTGGCATTCTTAGCTTAGCACAAATGTGGTCTCACTGACTTCCTCACCAAGTACTCCAGAGTCCCCAATCAATGAACTGAGTTATTAGCACAAAAGGTGAAATTCATTAGATATTTCAAAATAGAACCATCTTATGTGCCACTATCAGGTTATTAGGAAAATTATTCTGTATGCCAGTGACTTAACCCCTTTAGATATCAGAGAACAAAATAAAAAATGTTTTAATTGAAAATTTAGAAAGTCGCCATTTTTGTCAAGGAAATCTAAAATAGCAAACACCATCTAATCTTACCCCAATTTTTTACAAAGGGCATTTTATGTGCCTCCCAAACATGAAGGATATAACAGAATACAACAGACTTTTAATGTATGATGCACAAAATCCATAATTTGTCCTTATTTTTCTCACTTTACGTGGACTAAACAAATTGTTACTGAATAGCTCTTTTGCAACTTAGATTCTTAGAACATTGTGAAAGATGAAAAGGGTAGGATGGACAGAAAGTAGAAAAATGAGCTAATGGAAGTCATGAAATAGAAAAAAATAAGTCCATATCACAAAAGTAATGGGAACAGAGAACAATTATAAAAATGAAAATTCAATTTAGAGACAACGTGAGAAATTAACAAAAAATCTAAAATCACACCAGTTTCTAGCACTGGCTACTGGTGATATAAAGACACATTAACTTATACAGAAAACAATGTTCATGACTCACAACTCTTAAAGGTAGTCTATGGAGCCTATACATGTCATTACAACAGACAAAAATCCATGTTAATATCAGTATATGGAAAGGAAAAACAAAACTTTTTCGGCTGGCTTAAATTCAAAATCAAACATTTCCTATGTTCCTACCAATCAAATTTGTTCAAATATCCTAAGTCTGAAGCAAAACAAATTTTTCTCATCTTCTGAATTCTTTTATCAAAGTATGGGATTCTTTAACAATATACCATCTATTCCACTGTCTAGAACTACCCATAGCCAAATAAAATCAGGATGTGAGTATGTCTCCAAAGTATATCACCTTACAAAGAATGGTTATTTTTGAATGGACAGAGTACATGAATAGACATTTCTCTGAAGAATAGGGACAGACAGCTGAAGACATATGTAAAGACATGAAAAAATGCTCAAGATCACTAAGCATCAGGGAAATTCAAATGAAACACAATGAGATACCACCTTACACCTGTCAGAATGGCTGTTACCAAAAAATGTCAACAAGTGTTGACAAGAACGAGAAAAGGTTAACTCTTGTGCACTGTTGGTGGGTTGTAAACTGGTACAGCCAGTATGGAAAACAGTATGGAGGTTACTCAAAAATTAAAAATAGAACTACCATACAATCCAGCAATTCCACTTCTAGGTATTTATCTCAAGAGAACAACACAAACTTAAAAAGATACATGCACCCTTATGTTCGCTGCAAGATTACTTACAATAGCCAAAATGTGGAAGCAAGCTTGGTGTCCACTGATAGATGAATGGAAAAATATGTAGTATACCTTGGGGTATTACTCAACCATAAAAAAGAACGAAATCTTGCCATTTGTGACAACATGGATGCACCTAAACGGTATATTATGCTAAGTGAAGTAAGTCAAAGACAAATAACTAAAGACTTGTAGGTGGAATCTAGAACAACAAAACAAATGAAACAAATGAACAAACCAGACTCATACAAACAGATGAAACTGATGGTTGCCAGAGGTGAGGTAGTATGGGGATGGGTGGAAAAGGTCAAGTGGAATACAGACAATGTTGTGATAACTCTGCATAGTGACAGATGATTACTAGATTTACTGTGTTGATCACATCAGAAGGTACATAAAGGTCAAAGCACTATATTATACACCTGAAACTAATAAAATATTGTATACCAACTATACTTGATTAAAAGAAATTTAAGTAGCATTTGGTCTGTTTTTGTCTTATCTTTAATAATGGTGCTATAAACATTTATACTCAAGATTTGTGTAGATACATGTTTCTAATTTTCTTGGGTCTAACTGACGGGCCATATAATAACTCAAAAGTGTAATTTATGGAAGAATTATCAAGTTGTTTCCAAAGTGACTGTACCATTTTACAGTCCCATGAGTAATGTATGAGAGTTTCAATTTCTTTACAACCTGGCCAACCTGGTTTTCTTGTTTTGCTTTTCAATTTTTTTCTTCCTCTGCGAAAATAGAAGAGATGGTTTATTGTTCACATTACATTTGCCACAACTGAGAAGAGAACTAGTTCAGAATGTCACAGGCCCAGAACTAAGAACCAAAAGGGACTGTTCTTGTACAAGCAAGGTGGGTCTCTCAAAAGGTGGTTGCTGCAATCAGATGGCAATGTATGTTCTAGGTCCACTGAGAAGTTGTAGAGAGTACGCATGGACTCCAGTGATTGGTACCAGTATCCCTGGCCCGTGGCTTCCCTATTTCTGCTCCTGTGCCTTCCACAGGTATACAAGTTGGTAATTTACTCGAACCTCTGCCTCATCATCTTCTACACTTCAGCCTACATATTTGCTGCTTCTTCCATTTGGTTCTCATGGCACGGGGTTTCTAAAAAGATGGTGCTTAGGCCAAGGTTACTGTCTTTTCTATTTTTTGCCACTCCAGTGGGTGTAACATGGTACTACTGTACATCTGCCTTTTCCTAATGGCTGATGGTGTTGAGCATCTTTTCATGTGTTTCTTGGACAGCTGTACATCTTTAGACAAATGTCTACTCAAGGTCCTTTGCCCATTTTAAAGTGGGCTGTCATTATTATGAGGTAAGAGTTCATTGTCTTTCTTTATGGTGTCCTCTGACACACAAAAGTATTTAAATTCAGTAAGTTGAATCAATCTTTTTGCATTTGTCACCTTCAGACTATGGACATTCATAAGAAACTAAGAAGCTGATAATTATTAAATTTCTATTCATGTTCCTTGAAGTTCTCTCTTATTTCCATTAAATTTCCAGTCTTTGCACAGAATAGATAGAGCCTCGGCTCCTGGAGTAAACCTCTTTTATGAGTTACTTCAATTCAAAAGACTGTCTAGGATAAGAATTGTGAATTGTATGTTATGTACGATATAACTCAATGGAAGGAGAAGGTCTATCTAGCACGAAGCAGCTGAAATACTACATTGTGTACCTGAGAAATCATATATGGAAAGTTTGAAAACTTAGTAGCTATAAATGTATGCACAATGGACAGAAGAGAACTTTCCAAACTTTCTACAACTAGCAGACATCCACTTCTCATTTCATTTATTTATTTATATATTCACAATACCTCCTTAGGTTTACCCTTCCAACAAGAGGTTTCCTGGAAGAATAGTCAATTAAATCATTAACCATTATATAAATCAGTATTTGCATTCAGAAAACTACTTCTACATTGACTTTAAAAATATTCTCAAGACAAGCGTTTTTCTAACAGTTCAGTGAAAAAGGCCCTTGTCCTGGTTAGGTGGCTCACTTGGTTAGAACATCATCCTGATATGCTAAGGTTGCAGGTTTGATCCCTGGTCAGGGCACATACATGAATCAACCCATGAATGCATAAATAAGTAGAACAACAAACTGACGTGTGTATGGGTGCATGTGTTATGTCTCTCTCTCTAAAATCAGTAAAAAAGACACTTTTTAAAAAATCCTTAATGAGAAAATAATTTACTTAAGAAGAACTTGTATCTAGACTATATAAAATTATAAACTCTTACAACTCATAAACTGAATCAACAATTAGTAAGCTTCCACAACAGAAAACATCAGGCCTACATGGGCTCACTGGTGAATTCTATCACTTTCTTTTTTTAATCCTCACCTGAGGGTATGTTCACTGATTTTAGAGAGAACGGGGGAAGGGGGGGGAGAGAGAGAGAGAGAGAGAGAGAAACATCAATTAGTTGCCTCTCATACACACCCCAACCGAGGATCAAACCCTCAACATGGGTATGTTCCCTGAGCAGGAACTGCACCCACAACCTTCTGGTGTACAGGATAATGCTCCAATCAACTGGGTCACCCAACCCAGGCACTACCAAACATTTAGGGAAGAAATTATATCAATTATCTACAAATTCTTTCAGAGGATAGAAGCAGGGAAAATATTTCCTAACTCATTGTACGAGGCCAGCACTACCATAGTAACAAAACCAGGATAATATATAAGAAAAAACAAAATACAAGCCGGTACCTCACAGGAACATAAATGCAAAAATCCTTAACAATGCATTAGCAAGTGAAATCCAAAAAAGTGTAAAAAGAATAATATACCATGGCCAAGTGGAATTTAACCAAGCTATTTAAGTCTGGTTCCACATTCAAAAATCAATTTAATATTATCACATCAATAAGCTAAAGAAACCAAGCCTCATGATTATATTAATTAAGTGGAGCAAAGGTATTTAATAAAATCCGTATCCCTTTTATGATTAAAAACTCTCAGCAAACTAGAAAAAGGATAACTTTCTTAACTTGATATTATCTACAAAAAGTGTATGACATACTTAACAATTAGAAACGCAAAGCTTTCCTGCTAGGATCGGGTACAAGGGCAAGGATGCCTCTCTCACTATACTTTTTCAGGTAAATAACAATTCAACATATATGTACATGTTATAAAATGAACACTGCGATAACTCTAGTTAATATCCACAACTACACAGCTACCAATTTTTTTCATGTGTAGAAAACTTTTGAGACCTACTCTTTCAGAAATCTTCAAATATACAATACAGCTAACTATAGTCTCCATGCCATACACATTACACTCCCAAGACTTATTAACTGAACATACCTTTTGACCCCCCCCCCCATTCTGCCCCACTTATACCCCATGCCCCTTGTCCCACCTCTGGTAATCACCAATCTGTTCTCTGTATCTTCGAATTTGGGTGTTTTTTTATTTTGTTTACTTATTTATTAAAAGGTTTCACTTATTTATTTTTAGAGAGGAGAAGGGAGGGAGAAAGAGAGGGAGAGAAACATCAATGTGTAGTTGCCACTCACATGCCCCCTACTGGGGACCTGGCCTGGCTGGTGCCCTAGACTGGGAATTGAACCAGTGACCATTTGATTTGCAGGCTGGCACTCAATCCACTGAGCTGCACCAGCCAATGCTGGCTTTCTTTTTTAAAAGCGCACATACAAGGTTACCCGGTATCGTATTTTGCCATGTATAATGCGCACTTCTTTGCCCAAATTTGAGGAAAAAATAAGAATGCGCACTATATATGGGTAGTACTAATTCTGTATCTTTTATTTATGTTTATACATTTAAAGTGTAACTCTAGAAAGCAGTAACGATGTCTGTATGCAAAATAATACCCTGTAATATAATAATCGGCTTTGTGTCTAAATATAATTAATGGAATTAAAAATTAAAATGAGAGATTTATTTCCTGTAAGTTTGGGCCAAAAATATGGGTGCACACTATATATGGGAGTGCATTTTACACAGCAAAACATAGTATTCTTCTTTGTAAGTTATTTTACAAAACCAATTATTGAAAAGTCTGTCCTTTCTCATATGTGAAGAATTGACCATATATATGTGTTTATTTCTGGGCTTTCCATTCAATCCCACTCATCTAGTGTCTGCTTTTATGCCACTACCATACTGTTTTAATTACTATAGCTTTGTAACATAATTTGAAATAAGGGAACATCATGCCTCCAGCTGTTGTTGTTCCTGCTCAAGACAGCTTTGGCTTGTGTAGGTCTACACAAATTTTATGACTGTTTCCTCTATATTTTAAAAAATGTCATTGGTGTTTTGATAGGGATTGCATTAAATCTTTGAATTACTTTAGATAGCATGGCCACCAAAACAAAATTCTTCCAGTCCATGAGCATGAAACAACCTTGCATTGATTTGTAGCTTCAATTTCTTTCACCAATGTTTTACAGTTTTCACCTCCATGGTTAAGTTAATTCCTAGGTATTTTATTCTTTTTCATGCAGTTGTAAATGGACTTTTTCTTCATTTTTTTTCTGATATTCTTTTGTACACAGAAATGCAACTGATTTCTGTATATTGATTTTGTATTCTGCACCTTATTGAGATTTATAGTTTTATAGGACAACTATTGTAACGGTAATAAATCTTTTCAAAAAACTGTCTGTCTTAAGGAAAATTAGCTACATAAGAGTAGCTTGAGTGTAGCTTTATGTAGATTATCAGTCAGTGCAGTCATTACTAACCATTAAAAAAATCTCAAAATTCACCTAAAAGCAAATTATTTAGATATCATGTTGTCAAAAAAAATCAAAATAAAAAGCACAAACCACTCAGCAATCATTATTCCACCACTGCTTTGTATACTCTCAAAGAAAAGTCAGATAAGAGAATGTAACGTTAAAAAGGATGCAATTTTTGGTCCTTTGACAAAGGCATCCCCAGTAATTAACTTAGTTAAATTGATACTTATGTTTTTTTAAGTAAAAAGATTTCCAAGTCTTTGGAATGTACTGGGTTGGCCAAAAAGTCCGTATGTTTTTTTCTGTAAAACACAAGACATATTTTTCATTTTCATCAATACCTTTACTGATTTGGATATTGAGTTTGTCAGCCATCTCCTGCTATTGACTTATAGTGGATACAAGCCAGGGATGCTACTAAACATCTTCTAATGCACGAGACAGCCAAGTAAAGATTTATTTGCCCAAAATGTCAATAGTACCAAGAAACTTTGCAGACCACTTTTGACATGTTCAATCAATCAAAGCGCCTTCTCCATATACTCCACCAATCTTTTTTTGTGTTTCAGCTGCATTTTAACCTTTCTTGAAATAATAAAGCATTATATGCTGAAAATGTGTATTTTCTTCCATCTTCAATGTTAAAATGGCTGCACAAAAATTCACCAATTTTGGAAAGTTTTTTTAAAAAATGCACACTGATACGACAGCTGTGACAATACAATCTAACAAAATTGTTTTGAATGAAGTTAAAGACAACTAAGTGCTACTAGAGCCATCATACAGAAAAAAATTAAACTTTTTGGCAAACCCAATACAATCATTTTCTGTAAGATCACAATCCCTCATTTGTAATTTTAAAGTCCAAGAAGTTTTAAAACATTAAGTTTTTGCTACTTGGCATGTTCACTTTCCCACAAACATAAACATATGTTTTGATGCCTCAAATTCAGCTGAACATATTATAAACATACTCTGTTACCTAAAATCCAAAAGACACATGTGGCTCCAATGATTCTGAAAAAGAGACTATCCATACATTTCAAATTAAGGTGTTACCTGATATTCAGGGTCCAGTCTAAATGAAGAATCTCTTGAGTGATAGGTATCATTTAAACTACTTTCTCTGCTTTCAGACATCATCCTAGCACTTAAAGAGCTGGGGGATTGAACAGAAATTCTTCTTGGAATCCTTGAAGGTTTAGACTCCATTCTTAAGATTTCCTGTGAAATGCAAATTTTGATTAACGGCCTTTGAGAAAACATTCAAACCTTTTATTCTTTATTCTTAATCATCAGTTCAAAGAAAAAATTACCCAAAATTAACTGTATCTGACAGTGAATTATAAGACTATCATCACCCCTCTTTTACAAGGCAGAGGTGTAAAGTCTACCAAAAGTTCCCTATATTGTTCATTAAATGAAGCACACCTAAGTAAAAGTGAGATGAAGAACTGAGGTTTGTTGTTCCCAAAGTCTGGGCTCTTTTCCTTACTCAATTTTTGTCTCCATATAAAATCCTACATGAACTTGCCCTTGATTATTTTGCTATTCTTATCTATTATTGGTGTTTAATAGCCATACCATGAACATTAGCTATACTGTACTATTTGCACACCCCTTAACACCAAATGCTCCCACAGGTCTTTGTATGTGCCTAGAAAATCTACATACTCCCCATTCAATTCCTGGTCATGGTCTTAGAACAAGCGCTTTTCTTTGTGTGCCTCCACTTTATACATACATTGATTAAGACAGTGTACTACCTTAAGCTCTCATTTGGTTTCCTATCTCCCCTTCTCAAAGTGAAAATAATTTCTAGGTTTTGTTCATTAAAACATTCCTCTAAACCTATGCCAAGAGATAGTGTAGCTACACCTGTTTTTTAATTATATATAAATGAAATCATACAATATGTACTCTTTTATGTCTGGTTTCATTTGCTCAACATTGTGTATGTTTTATTCATGTTGTTTCATGCAGTTGTAAGTTCACTCTAGTTGGTTTATACAGTATTCCACTGTATCAGTACACACAATTTATTTGCCCATTCTACTGTGGATGGACACTAGATTGTTTCCAGTTTTAGGCTATTACAACAGTACTGCTATCAAGACCACTTTTATAAATTAACAAAGCAACAACAACGTTTAAATTTCCCGGCAAAAGGATTTACAATGAGGCTTCAATAACTGAGAGAAGCCACCAGTCTTGAGAGTAGGGAGAAAATAAGGATGAAACAAAGTATCAAATGAAAAAAAGAAAAATCACAATAATCTCTTCCACTTCTCCCAGTTACAAATTTTCAAAGTCAAGAATTATTCCCTTATTGTTCTGGAAATGGGTTGAAATTAAGGAAGTATAAATAGATGCACTTCACTTACCTGCTTTATTAAAACATTCAAACATGTTATCAGGAATGACAGAAAAGAAGAAGAAGAGAGCAAAAAACATTAAGAAAACTTATGGTCTATATTACAGTAGGTAATATACAACAAACAAAAAATATATAACACAAATTGAGTATCAATTAAAATCACTCAGCTAAGACCACCTAGCTAATGAGAAACCAAAGTAAAAGTTATATGATGGGATGTAATTAAATTAAAAAGGACTATCAGAAAAAGGGTCAGTTCTGAATTTCTAGTTAAAGAGGACAAGTTATCCTTATGTATCTATTGGCTCCTCTTTCCAGAACTTCTGTAAAATGACAGTAAATTAATCCAAAGCTTTAACCATGACAAGAACAGGAAGGGGACCAAAGAAGGCAAGAGATTTCAATGTATATTTGGAAAATCCAAGTAGGAGAAGTAGAATCCTTCAGCAGAGAAAATTAAACCATAACCCTAAGCATTTAAAAAGAAGTGGAACTAGAAAGATTCAAGACCCGGAGGTACAAAGTATCATAAATATGGTTGGAAAGCTAGTTGCTGAATAAAATCTGTAGTTGAAGTAGAACCCTAGATTTTCCCCCTGGCTCCATTCTTCCAAAAATAGGTATTTATTTCCTGGAAATAAATATTTCACAGGCAATCACTTTTCCTAAATATGTGGAAGTATAAGGAATAAAATAAAATACACATACACACCGTAACTGAATGTTGAAACCCAAAGATTCTTTTCCTGATTTTCTTTCTACAATGCTGTTCAAAAAACTAAGGGATTTTTCTCTTGGATCATCTGGAATTACAAAACTAGCTTTCCACCTGATCATCCTACCCCACAACAAAGTCCACCACTAATGGAGAGTTTCTGATCAGCTTTTTTAGGGCTTCCCTCTAATTAGACAAACATTAGGGATCACTAAACATCCAAGGAAGGCCTCCAGTATGAAAGACACCACCAACAACAACAAAATAATCAACAACAAAAAAAGGTTAGAGAAAATGTGAAGAAAGGAGCTAATTACTATCCTAAAAGGGTTAAGACATTCATTCCCAAAATAATAACAGGAAGCTATAATAAAAATTGGTGGATGTTCAAAATGTAACACACTTAAAAATGTGATACATTGAAATAATTAACATAAGGCTTAGAAGCAAACCAAGTAAACATCCCTGAGATAGAAAATGTACTTTAAAAATAGGAGGATTGTCTACAGGTGTTATCAATTTGACTATAATACGGTTATAGAAAGAGAAAAGAAAATTTTAAGAAATTACCAAAGAAATAAAATAACCTTTCTACAATTTAAGGATACCAATCTTCACATTTAAAGGATTTAAGAGTACTCAGCAGATCAATGAAAAGAGTCCAACACTAAGCACAGGTTATCATCTTGAAATTTGAGAACACCAGAAATAAAGGAAAATTAAGAAAGTGAAAAAGCAGGTTACATACAAAAATAATTAGAATGGCATCTTAATCACACCTTTAAAAACTTTTAAGACAATGATGCAATAACTAATAGAGAAAAATGTTTAGCCTCGAATTCCAATCTGACAGCTAAATGTCAGATGGAGAATAGGACACATTTTCAGGCACACCAGATTTAAAAAAAAAAAAAATCACAAACAAAACAACAACAAAAAAAACCTCAGAGGAAGCTAAATTAAGAGCATGTCCTAGGCATATGGGAATGTAAGGAACTAAAGAACCAGTCACAATATTCAGGCAACTGTTAATGTTACAAAGGCATAAAGACTGAGACTGGAGAAGGATCCCATATAAAGGAAGCGAAGTTCTAAGAGAGGAAAAAAAAAAAAACCACATAGAAACTATTTTGGCATGTGGCAAAGAGGACACAATTGGGAAAATGCTGAACAAAGGGCAATTTAATAAATTAATTTTCAAACTTGGGAAAACATAGCTATTGTTCAAGAAAGGAGGTATGTTTGGGCGAACTCAAGATATTTAGTTTTAATAATATGAAACTGGACTGATTTTTGCTCTATATGTACCATGGGATGGAGGTAAGGGAAATAAAAAGAATGGTGAATAAGGAAAACATACCATATTGAAAAACCATCAACAGTGTAAAATACATCATTTAGAAATGTAAATCCTAGAACACCTGAAAGTTGGGGGTTGCTTCCTTTGGAAAGTAGGACTGGGAATGAGGAAAAGGGTGGGGCAAATAACTACTGTTTTCCTTTTAAGTAGGATGACGATATTTCCTGGTATGCCTGGAAGTCCCAGTTTATGGCCAGAAGTCCTAATTTCTGTTCATTATTTCAGGACAATTATTAATAGCGCTTGCATTTTCTCTTAAAAGTGACCTACTTTGGATGATAAAGCATATATATGATCAGTTCAGCTTTTTATAAACTATATACGTACGTCCACACAATTTTTTTTTTTTTAACTAAAAAGAGGTGTATTATGAAGTGGACCTTTAAAAGAAAGCATAGACAACTGGAAAGAATATTAATGGTCAAACACTGGCATGCAAAAGCCATAAATTATGTTAGCAAGCAACATTTTCTTATTTCACAAAGGCTATGAAAACATTAAAAAAGGGACTATATTTGTGATATGAGGATTTTAAAAAGGGAGACGAAATGCTTTTTAAGAGATACAGGCCTATAGGTGGTTCTTCAATAACAATAATGCTTCTTAATATTTCTCGTAGTTTACTTTGACTACATTTATATCCAATTTTTACTTGCATACTTGCAGAATGAAACTAACCTAGTAGGAAATCTGCTCAAAACAAACCTCTTGAGAGAAGACAAAGAGGCAGAGTCCTTTGAGAGATATAATTTATCCTGTATTAAAACTATTTTTGGCAACTCCTCTACATAAACTGATTGAATTTTGACAATGTAGGTGTTACCAGAGAACTTATATAATGTGGTTGCATAAGTTGTAGGTCAAAAGCACAAAAAATAGAAAAAAAAAATTTAATTCAGTCCTTGAAAAACTTCTACCAGACCACCTGCAAGGTCCTATGAGGCACAGTTTTAAGTTCTTTCATTTATTTAACAAACAGAACTACCAAACTACACAAATAACTATGTAACTTAGTTACAAGTGTAGCTTGTTACAATGGAAAAACTATAAGCAAAAATAACACACCAGCAGCAAAGTTATTTGAAGCTTTAATGCGTTTAACCAAGACCTGATGAGTATAACACAAAAAAAGGCCGTATTATCACCTTTCCTCGACAGTCAATATAATGGTATCTTTGTTTCCTTCTGTCACTTTATAGAATTTGTTTTCTCAATTAATTTAGACTTGATTCCACAGTTGAACAGCCAAGCTTTCTGGGGATAAGATAAAAATCTACCACACCAGGACTGTGTGACCCATGTAGATTTTACAAGTATGTGCCTGTCTGCCATGCCTTGCTACTCAATTTGCATACAGCACTCATCATACATCACTGTTATGAAAACTTCCATAACACAGTTTGCACTCTGAGACTCACTGAAGTCCTGGACATCATGGGTCCCAATGGAATTATGTGCTCAAGTTCCTTTTCAGCAAACCTATGGCTAAGTCGAGGCACTAACAGCAGCAAGAGATCACATTTTCCATTTTCCAGAACTTGCTTCAAATGCAGAAAGATCAGCTACAAAGCCACAAAAATCTTAATGTCAATATTGGAGATTGTTACTTTATTGAACTTTTCAACTTTGGAAAGAAACTCTTTTGGATAAAGCTGATATTTAACTACTAGTTTACCTAATTTGTCATATTTTTACTTAAATGTGTGCTCTCACACTGAGGAATTTTAAGAGACTGACATAAGCAACAGCAGTGGAAAACAGGTCTTTATACC